TACATTGCCTTTATGCCCAGATTTCAATATTATTGTGTATTTATTATCTATACATTTTGTTTTAATAGATTCTAATTGGCCATTAGAATTTTTTATACAATAAACATTTGTGCTATCTATACTGGGATATTGGTTCCTGCTATTAGGTGTGTAGCCCTCAACTACACAACGTGTTGGAAAAGAGCCTAAGAGAGTGGCTCCAGATTTGTGAGTATAATATATACATTTTCCTACACTATATACGGATTTGAAACTATATTGCACCATATATATCTCTGCTTGAGCCCTAGCTGCAACGGGGAATTTGTCACTTGGATAAAAGAAGGAGAAAGGTTGCCTTTACAGACCTGAAGGCGTATATCCCTGAGCTTGGTCGTAAGCTCAGTAATATGTGAGTGGTTCCATATATAGAGTTTATATTGCTTTTAATATTTTTGTTACAGTGTTGCACTAAGAGTATTTTAATTTCCTTTTTAGAGTAAGATCTATATACCACTCAGAAAAATATTGATCGACAAGAACGACAGTTATAAGAATTGGACTTCAATTTGTATGTAGCGCTTCACCTTTCGTTATTTTTGTTTTGTGGTTGGTGTATATGGAAAGATTACACATGGTGATATAGCAGCTTACATTATTGTTATATATATATATATATTATATATTGTGGAATTGTTTAATTTTAGAGCGCCAGTATATTATTATTTTGTATTTGTAAGGTTTCAAAATAACTAGAATGGGCCAGGTGATTGGTATCTGACGTCAAGATCTATGTTTCTATATCCAAAATCGATGTATTGTTTCAATCCATGTTAGCATTTCAAGCTACAGGTGATTTTTAATATTGTAATAGTGGAAATACCAGATAAGTGACATTCCTTTACAAAATGGTAAAAATAAATAGAATGCTAAGAACCACGAAGTGCCCCGGCGCCCTCCCAGTGTAAATAGTCAAAAGAACCATTTGAAAAAGCGTGTCATGTAGCCACACTTTCTCATATCATTCTAGCATCGCAATTGATATGGCCTGCAACTTGTCTTCCAACCTGCATCAATTTGACATAATTTATGTTGTTGGATGCCCAGAACCTCTGTATTTTTAATGTTCCTATGGTATTTCAAAATGAAGATACAGGACAGTCTGATTCATTACGGGGACAAGAATGATGCACAAGCAATCAAACCGTCAGTCACTATATCTCTAGCCAGGGAGTACATAGCCCTGTTGTGGTTCCTGGTGATCCCAACGGAGTGCTCCTTGCAAATGTGATTTATCCTGTTTTTGTTTTTTTTTGCCACTTCTTAGTCCTGATAGCTATTGTCCCTGAGTCTGACCCAGCTGTCTCTCCATTCTATCTGATTTCTTCTGTACATCAACATTGACCTGTCTGTGACTATTCTTTCGGTATACGGTTTCTCGATAGTATTAAGCCTGGCCTTTCTAATGGCCGGTTCTATGCTTTATATGTATCTAAATTCTGTGAGTTCTAGTATTGAGTGTTGAGGCATACTCTACTGTGACACTGGTTACTGCCAGCCACTGTCCCTCCTTTCAGTTAAACCATTTTCGAGAAGTTTAACACTGAGTGAGGATCCCTGGCTTACACACTTTCTTGTAGCCACACAATGTGGTTAGGTGACAGTTTCAGTCAAGCACAATCGCCCATTGTTGCTCAGGATAATGCTTCTTCAATAACTATAGCAGCACTGTGGGGATGGACTATTGGAGACTATTGTTTAGTATGAAAAATATAAAAAAATATTTAATTCTTAATGGAAGGACAGCACAAGGGACTTCAGACACTATTACCACTTCAATTAGATGAAGCGCAGTTCATGTGCCCTACAGTGTCCCTTTAACCCCTTAAGGACACATGACATGTGTGACATGTCATGATTCCCTTTTATTCCAGAAGTTTGGTCCTTAAGGGGTTAAACAATTTGACTACTTTGGGAAGCACCCAGGGCTTTCATGGCATCATAACCTCTACAACAGACCACATTTGGAGTATTCCTTTAAGTCAAGCATCTTGTTTAAACATGCATTATACATTATTAAGATACGATTCCATCTTACATAGCTACCTAGTAATCTAAGCTGAAAAAACATAGGCTTATACGATTAGAATTTTCCCATTTTGGGTGGTAGTTTGTGTATTCCACATTCTCAGATCTACTACTGGTCTGGGAGTCTGAGGGTTCTGCACAGTATTTTAGCTCTTCCTAGAATTGCAGCCTACTTCACCAAGATCTCCATCTGGAAGCAGCTAAAGTCATTCTCCCAAATCGGGGGTTACAGCCGTGAGTGCCCCTATTCCCTGAGAATACTACTGCCTTCACTTTAACAAATCCTTTCTCGCTCCTCTTTAGTCCTTCGCATTTATCCATCTTCTCATAATCCATATTCTTGATATTATTGTCACATATTGTATTTAAATATAGCTGTGTATGTCATGCTTGGCATAAGATTAATAATGATTTATGTTGATAAATGTAGCAAGTACAATGCTTGCTAAAAAGAAAGACGGGGAAAAAACATTTCTAGCTATGGACGCCCTCTAGTGCTGTCATGTTGGTACTGCATCTTCCTTCTTTTCATACCCCCATAGAGACCATACAATTAGGTTACAATCAAATGATCAAAAAACTAAATGATCTTATTGAATCTAACCTTCAGTCTGCATTCTTTTTTCCTTATACATAGCTTTGTTAAATAACTGTCCGACAATAATTCCCTTACAAACCAAGACATTGGTATCCTTTTTCTTTTTGACTGTTCAGACTTTTTTTTGCTAAAAACTGGAGGAGCATTGAAGTCCCTTCAATGTAAGGTGTAATAAAAATGCTTTATAATATACGTCAAATGGAATATATGGCCTATTCGGCTATTAAATCTCTGCCTAAGTTCTCAAAAATGTGGGGTCTTATCTTAGAGGAGAGAGTGAAGAAAGAGGATGACTGGCTTAGAATAAAACCAAGAATAATTTGGGGTAATAATGACACAAGGCAGGTATTAACATCTAGGGCATTTGGAATTAAGAGGGATTTGAATCATATTGTATCATAATCAGTTCAATTAGAAAATCCCAGGTTCTCTATATCAATTATATATATATATATATGTTCTTATTATTATATATACATTTGTGGTCAGGGCATAAAGCCGTAGCATTAGCAACATAAGACAAACAAGGAATGAAGAAGGTCAGTTGTGGTGTGCCGTAACTGACGAGGTAGTAGGCCTGAAATAAAAGAGGGCCTACCTTATGAAATGCTTATAAAAAGGAGGTGTGGTGGGTGGGACAACTCACCAGACCTAAGACAGTAGTGAGGGAAGGGCTGGTGCTCCTTAAGAAGGGAAACCAGGCCCCTCCCACAACTTCAGGCCCCGCCTTCCATTTGTGGTCAGGGCATAAAGCCCTAGCATTAGTAACATAAGACAAACAGGGGATGGAAAGGTCAGTTGTGGTGTGCCATAACTGATGAGGTAGTAGGCCTGAAATAAAAGAGGGCAAAAAAGATATAAACCAGTTTATTCAGTCTACCAATACATCATAGTATATTACATAATCATATTCTTAAATGCCAGGCGCACCTCTTGGACTGGCTGAGGAATGTATCTGGTGTAAGCCGTGGATTTCCATCGGCCTAATATTTTAATGATGTGAGCCGGGATATTCCTTTTAGAAACTGTAGTAGCTGCTCCTATTCTGAATGAGTGACCAGAATAGTTGGCTAGGTTCAAGCCTAACCGAACCAACAACATTCTTACGTACAGCATGATCTTACTCGTAGTGAGCCTATTACCGTGTAAGGCTAGCAGTGGTTGTGTTGGAACCATTGTAACGATGGAGCGGTATTTGTCGAAAACTTCCACAGGACACCATTTATTACTAGTGGGGTAATATGTAATAGCGACCCTCTGTCCTTTGGCGCTAGTTTTTGTATGGTGTAGTGACAGTAAATAGTGATCGTGTGACCAGGTTTGACCTTGTGATGAAATTGGGGGAGTTGTAGTTAGCAGTGGTAAATTCTTTGGGCCGAAGAAAACCGTAAAAAGCATATATTGTTTTTGTGTATTTATTTACTAATGATTTAATTTGAATTGTAACACTCTTCTAAACAATTCTACAGGGTTAAGGAAGGGTAGGTTGGCCTTTTCCAAGGGAGAGGGAAAAGAGGGAAAAGGAAGGGGGATCTTTGTATCGTACTACTCAAATTAATCATGTTCAGTTATATTTTCTAAAATTGTAATGTTTTTGATGGTTGATGTATCATATTGATCTATTGTTATAATTGTTTATATATATATACACACACACACACCTTAATAAAATTATTTGGAAACACAATCAAATAATTACTTTTGTAGTTGAATACAACGATTCTAAGGACATATTGTTATCTTGTATCATATTATATTGATAATAAACGTAGCACTTATGTACAGAGATACTTTGTGGAATATTCCCAATGCAGCCCCCATGTAGTAGGAATATATAGCAAGCATATGATTGGTGCATTTTTATATTGTTATATTTTGGCAAGTTATGCCCCACTGTATTAGTCCCCCAATTCATTCTAATGTCATATCTCCTCAATTCATCTTGCTCATGTTCTTATCTCACACAATTCATCCTTCTTTTACCATATTCTCCATTGGATCTGCTCCATTTTCTTCTAATTTTTTCCTGCTATTGGTTATCTTTCAATCTTTACATGTTTCCCCATCATCAGCTCAAAGAATTCCCCAGATCCAAAGTGTTCCATCTGTTTAAAAATATATACACCTTCCTCCTTTTCAAACATGACCAACATGTATCTACAAACACTCTCCCATCCGAAGTAAGAACACTGTACCAACAGTTTGACGCTTGCCCTACTGCCCAGATCAGCTTCGATCCCACTCCTTCCATATCCAAACATCTTATTTCACTAATCTCGAAAAATAAACATGACACTTTATTATAATTTTTATTTATATTTATTAAGTATATTTGACAGAATTTGTGTTATTTTACAGTCTCTGCTAAGGCAATAAAAGACTTAGGGATTCAAAATATATCTTGAAAATTGTGACATATTTGACCAGAAAATCGCCATGGTGTGGGGTACCTCTGGACTCACGAAGAGTCATCCTTCAGCACTCAGGAAAGGAAAAACCCCCTGTGGAGGAAACCTCTGGGGAACCATGGCTTGAAGGATTGCCCTACCCTCTAGGCATTAAGAGGTAAGTGCATAATCTTTTTATGCAGCGTTTAAACTGGCAGAGAGACAGATGGAAGGAAGGGGGAAAGACAAACATACAGACACAAAGACAAACATACAGGTAGGCATACACATCAACAGACAAACAGAAAACTGAATTATTTCAATTGATACACAGACAGGCAGATGACAGGAAGGAAGAAAGAAAACAGGCAGAAAAAGAGACAGATCGGCAGGCAGAAAGACATTCAAACAGAAAATATACATACGATAGGTACTTTTCGTCTCCTCTTCCGTATTGCAAACTTGACAAAGCAGCTTAAAAAGTAAAAAATGATGCTCATCCTCTCTGAAGAAATTCCATGTTATAAAGGGTATACGAGTATTCATGCAAAATATAATGCTGCCCTGCTAGATCCTCCATTGGTCCAGATCAAATTGAGGGTCGTTAGCTCCAAATCGTCAGACACATCCAGTTAAGGCATTTGTGCCTATGCCATTTAGAAGATACACCACCTCTGGATACAGTGTGTAGCTCAGTCAGAGCCTCACATACATCTGGGAGTTTAACAGAATGTCCAAGCAAGAGTAGCTGTTTAACATTTATGACATCACAGTCTGACTCTGACATCATCATCTTTGATACGTTTATTTCTAGACCAGTATTAGTCATCATCCTGAGCAAGTATTGTTTCTTATTCCATCCTCACTTCCCCCTATAATAATTGTGGTTAACCTGCAATTCAGTATTAGTGAACAAACATCATTCTCTTGCTCCAAAGATTCTCTCTCGCTCCCTCTGTCCTTTTCTTTATTAAGCTTTTCAACTTTCATTCTTTTACCTTAGTGTCTTTCCAATGTACCTAGAATTCTTTTTTTTTTTTCTAAATCAAGATAGTAGTTGGTTGGCAGCTTTTTAAAATCTGTCAAACATCTTCCATATTGCTACCTTGCTCTCCAGTAGCGTTTTGGCTTTTGAATGAAATAGTGGGGCTATGACATCATCACATGTACATAGTGCAACAAGGAAGCTGGTCTGTGTGACTGCAAATAACAAGAAAGATTTAAAAAAAAAAACCTACCCCCCTATGCTACCCAAGATTGAATTAGGGGGCAGATATGTGTATATAGATATATATATATAGCTAATGCCCCCCTCCTTAAAATCCAGGGCTCATTTGTTGTGAAAAAAAAAAAAAAGATTTTAAATACATATTTTATATTTTAAAAGAGTATATTCAGCCATAAAAATCAATTAATATTACACTTAAGATTTCTTTATTAACAATGTGCATCAAAATATCTGCAAACTGAGAAAAAAAAAACATGTCACCATTTGGCACAGAACACTGCTGACATCACATGTGAGACAATTCCACCCCTATTCTTTGCAGGGGGTGAAGATCAAGAAACAAGGGGCGGGAGAAGGGGTGCTAAATATATTTTTGTTGTAAATATAATTATCTACAAATGCCCGCACATGCTTTGTACACCAAGAACTTTTTCATAAGCAAGGGATAAACTCTTATATTTCTATATAATACCTCTCACAAACCTGTATATGAGCTAAAAATCTACAAACTACCTTGTTGCATCACCTATTTCTAGTGAAATAAAAATGAAAGCAACTGTTACTTGTACGGTTTCTTCCAGGTAACATATTCTCTTGCATGATGGTGGCCACGCAGAGTAGTTTCTCTACCTGGTGCTGTCATCTTTAACCGCCAATCTTCTTCAGATCCGTTGCTGCACCTGGAAGGGGCCATCTTCACTATTGTACACGCAATGCTTGTACAAGAGTACAAAACGTAGTCTGTGAAACATCCTGAAGGCCAAAGGACCTTATATAGAAAATTTCACGCTTGTGCTATAAAGTACCATAAGCATTTATTGTGCATTGCGTTAAATTATGCTTGTTCTCATGTTTCAGTTATTTACGTGTTTTAAAGGATCACTATAGGGTCAGGAACACAAACATGTATTCCTGATCCTACAGTGCTAAACCCACCATATAGATTTTTTGTCCCCCCTATAAAAATGTAAAACTCAACTTATTTCCAGTGCCGCACGAGTCCGCCGTGCTGGCCACGCCCCCTTTGTGACATCATGAAAAGGGCAGATGTTTAACCAATTCAATGCTTTCCTGTAGGGAAAGCATTGGATTGGCTAAAATCGGCACGGGGGCGTGGCCAATTGCCAATCAGGACCTCAATTCAGCATCTCCATGAAAAGGCAGTGTTTACATGAAAATGCCTGAAGGGAGCTATTATACTCACCAGAACAACTTTAAACATTAAACGGTTGTTGTTCTGGTGACTATAGTGTCCCTTTAAAGTAGTTTGGAAAGTTTTTTGCTCCCCCATGATTTTGTACCATTAAGTAAGAACACGGTATAAATTCTGCACGTATATTACTTGCATTCGACTCCAAAATAAAAGTGTCATAAAACAGAAGAGTATATTATTTTTGGAGCAAAAAAAAAAAAAATGCACTGCACACACCAATAAGGGAGGTTAATAGGTTAAATGAACTGCACAAAAAGAAAAATGCAAAAATAAAAAATGGAATTCATAAAATAATAAATAGAATTAATAATGCACATAAAAAAATCCCAAAAAGGTGCATATTATTCAGCGGCACTCTGATAAACCTCCCTTAATGTCTCTCAACATTTACCACTTTCTCCCAGATTAACACCTGCTGCCTTGACAAATGTCCCCATTATCGTATGTTCCAATTAAACCTAGAGGTACACGTTCATAGCACTCTAACTCATCATGATGGAACACAGAGACTTGGTAGAACTTTATGTGATATACATAAGCTGAAATAAAAAAAATAAAAACACCACTTAATTTTTTTTTTTATTTAACTCAAATGTTACTTATACATACGTGGTTATTCACTAAGGTGAGAATTCAATGTGAATTCAAATAGAACTTCAAATTTCAGGCCAAAGTAGTTGATCTGGAAGCATAGCTGACTTAGAGAATTTTTCCAATTCAGCTATTTTGGCCTTAAATTTGAAATTCACTTTAAATTTTCTCTTCATTGAATAAACCTTATAGAGATTTTATATTCTTTGCTATTCATTTCACCCAGTACTTTGATTTAGTCATTTTTATGTCCCAGCGTTTAATATCCCCTCCATCTCTTGCACCTGTTCAGTATAGTAACTTGGACATGTTTGCTTAATCATTAGCATCTATAAAATGAGGACTCTTTCTTATGGATTACACGTAAATCGACATCAAACACAGTCTCATTTCAGTTAACCCATTCAGTACCAGAGTTCTGAAAAGGTCGCTCTACCCGTTTTTGCACCTGTAATCTGATGAGTCCCTGATTCCCTTTTAGATGTGATCTATGAAAAGAGATCTGGTACATGTACAGTTATTCTTGTTAAACTGGAAGAATTACATTTCTGGTGTTTCAAGGTATTTTAACTTAAATAGAGAAGGGATTCCCTTAATTACAGGACATGACTGTTAAGAACAAGGCAAGTTGTAACAGGCCATCTAAATGACCTTTTCCATAAATAACATTTATGGAAATAATTCTAAGATTAACAGGGTTATTTGCCAAAGGGGGATTTGTCTTGAATTCAAAGTGAATTTGAAATATTTGGACAAAATAGTGCAAATGACAACATTGCTGACTTGGTGGTATTTTCACACTGCTATTTTGGGCTGAAATCACCTTGAATATTCTTTGATCTCCCGACAAGTAACTCTTTAGTAGACGTATTTAAAAGAATGTGAAGATTTGACGGTTGACTTGTAAAAGGTAAGATCACAATAGCCATCGGCTTTTTCAAACTCAATGTAATTCCAAAATAGAAAACACATTTTAGTTTAGAAATTGCACTTTAATGTTGTGAACTTTAGTTTTTAATTTAGTTTTCTTTTTTCCCCCTTTATCCCACATTCAATAAGAACTATGGGGAAGGTTAGAAATTCTTGACCAAATGGTATAAAATACACAATTTACCTACTTATTACAGATCCAAGCAGGGTTTTCAGATCCGCCAGTTTATTTGTGGTCACATATCACATCTTCATGTTGGTTGTCAGAAAATTAAAATGTGCATTTCTTTGGTATATAGCATTCAGATGCTGCAGACAGACTATGACATGAATGATAACTTCACTGCAGTGCCATGTTAACAGCATTATGGCCCCCCGGGCAAAGCAGTGTACTGGGGCCCTGACTACACAACAACTCACAGGAATAAAAATGTAAATTATCGATAAATTGAAGCTTATAATTATTGGTACCTTCAACAAATGCAATACATACACACACACACAAATTGTTGAATATAGTCACAGACTGCTGAATACACACACTGACTGACCGCTGGGTACACACAAACAGACTGCTGAGTATACACAAACAGACTCCTGAGTACACACACACACAAACACACAAATAGACTGCGGAATACAAACAGGCTTGTGAATACACACACAGACACTGCTAAATACACCCAGACTGCTGAATACAAACACACACACACACTGCTGATTACACCCATATTGCTGAATACAAACACACACACACACACACTGCTGATTACACCCATACTGCTGAATACAAACACACACACTGCTGATTACACCCATACTGCTGAATACAAACACACACACACACACTGCTGATTACACCCATACTGCTGAATACAAACACACACACACACACTGCTGAATACACCCAGACTGCCTTGAGAGGTGTGGTGTATGTGTGTGTGTAAGGGGTACTGTGTGTTTTTGAGGGGTACAGTGGGTTTGTGAGGGGTGCTGTGTGTGAATTGTGCTGTGTGTAAATGGTGCTGTGTGTGTGTGTGAACACTTAATGTTGAAGAATTGAGAGACGGGAAAAGCAGAAAAGACCTCCCACAGGGAGAACAGGAAAGGTCTCGGTTCTCCGCCAATTGCAATTACAATGCGTGTGTTATGATTTTTATGGTCACTCAATTCACACGCCGGCAATGAAGCCAGTGTGTCGGTGTTATGGTGAAGGTATGCCTGGCTTGGGGAAGTGTACCCAAGCAGGGTAAATCAGAGAAGAACTCAGGACGAGCGCAGGCAGACTGGAGGTGGGTGTTACAGAAGTGTAAAACCCTACTCTGTAAAAAGAGTATGGTGGGGGAGCCAACCACCAGCTATGTGGTGACAGTTTCACTTTAACTGCCTCTAGTAACTGTGACTCTGACAGCCACTAGAGGCGCTTCCAACAAAATAGCCGACTTCAATTCAATCAGATTATGATATAGTGCAGCGCAGTGTGCAGCAAAGGCACACTAGTCTCCAAATGCTATAGGAAAGCATTAGATTGGTTGGGATCATCAATCTTGATGCGCTCAGCCAAGGAGGCCTATAAGCAGGGTGGAGACATGTTTTGCAAGGGCTAAAAGGTAAGTAATACTGGCCCTTCAAGCCCTCACACGGCAGGGGACATTTGTATAGTTTGATATAAACCTCATCAAAGAGATTTGCCTTGATGTGGTAAGTGAGCTTGCACTGGCCATTGGAGTGATACTAAAAACCTCCTGTTATTTAAATGTGCACAGGAATATCGGACAGAGCGCAGGTAACTTTTTCTTTTTTTGCTTTTCATCTATGTATGTGGGCTGATATGTACTATAGTCATCGCAGACAGCTAGGAGTAGTGGGAGTTTGAGCACAGCGCTTGATTCTGTGTGTTTGTATTTGCTTTCGTATTACAAAGCCATGTTACAACGCTGCCGCCTACCACAAGGGTAGCCCGTTAAAGGGTTAATAAGTGTGTAGGGGGGTTAGAAAAATACCCCACTCTGTCTCATTAGAGATTTTACCTTACAGCTGAAAGCAGCAAGGGGAGTTATTAGTGTAGGACTCACCTAGGAGTTTTGCTTTGATGGGACAGATGAGCTTACACTTTAATGGCTATTTTGCTTTCTTTTGGATCAACAGTGTAAAAAAAGATCGGTCGAAAGATAGCTCTTGATGGATTTGAGTTTTTGAACCTAGATTACTATATAAATATAACAATTATGTTGTCATTGTGCCATAATTATATGGAGGACATGATGCAAGCTAATGGTTAATTCATGTAGCACGCACCTTCCCTTTTCTTTTCCCCAGTGGCTCTACAGCCAGGGAAGGGAATGGTCACTTAAAACATGCCTTGAATTCTTTTCTGTAGAACAGTTGATAACTAATTCTAGTCCAGTCCCTCTTAACAGCACAGCTGACTGGTATATCTGATTGGCTATCCTACTGATCATTTGTAATTGCTTTGTTGTTTAAAGTCCTAATTAGAGTTTGCATTGGCTTGGCTAGAAGCAGGCAGCAGCCTTCTGTCCGACAAGGTAGAGGATAAAGAAGATCCTCTATTGCACGCCGCAAGGCCATGCTATAACAGGAAGTGAGATCCACGAAAAGGGAGACCGCAAGAGCCATGAAAGGGGGGAGACAACCACGAGTCATACCTTTTAAGTAATACATTAAGAGAAGTAGTGAATAATGTTCCTTTATGTATAAATTGCTGGTTGGCTGTCAGCCTTGTACTCACCCCCTTCCAGGGGTTGTCATTCTGTCAATGTCACTTCATGTTTTTGATGCTTGTGGGATCACGAGTCAACTCAGTTCCATGGAAGCCACCAGAGTTCCTCACTAGGTAAGCCCAAGGAGTTTAGAGGGGAAAATTTTGGGTGGACACCAACTTAGAAAGGCTAAGAGGGTGGCACAACATGAAATGGGATAAGTAGCACTGATCATGGGGCCACTAAATATTGTTTTGGGGCTAGAGGGAAGCATCGAGAGGGTGGGGAATGGGATGCACATTTAGGGACATCGCTGCTTTAAAGGACCACTATAGGCACCCACACCACTTCAGCTCAATGAAGTGGTCTGGATGCCAGATCCCTCTAGTTTTAACCCTGCACCTGAAAACACAGCAGTTTCAGAGAAACTGCTATGTTTACACTGAGGGTTAATCCAGCCTCTAGTGGCTGTCTCACTGACAGCCGCTAGAGGCGCTTCCGTGATTCTCACTGTGAAAATCACAGCGGACGTCCATAGGAAAGCATTGAGTAATGCTTTCCTATGGGCGGTTTGAATGCGCTCTTGCCGCACATGGCATTCGGCGCTGATGTCGGCAGAGGGACGAGAGTTACCCAGCGCAGAAGGATCCCGGCACTGGAGAAAGGTAAGTGGCTGAAGGGGTTTTAACCCCTTAAGCCCAGCGGGAGGGGGGCCCTGAGGGTGGGGGGGACCTAAGGACTACATAGTGCTGGGAAAAAAGAGTTTGTTTTCCTGGCACTATAGTGGTCCTTTAATATATTTATTTACACAGTAACAGACTAAATATGACCATTAAAGCTGCACTGTCACGCCGAACTTACCTTTCCCCAATCGCTTCTTCCTCTCTCAGGATCTGTTCTTCTTTTCTTCCTATCAGATCTAGTTTTCTTTAAAACATAAGACAAAGTAGGAACTACTTTGTCTTATGTATTTTTCCTACGCTTCACCAGCTTTCACAACTTTCTTGTGGTCAAAGAAATTTTCACCCTTTCCTCTGTTATCTTGCGATGCTTCCGATCAGTATTCCCGAACATCCTGTTTTTTTCATTGTAGTTGTTCTGGTGAGTATAGACAGTGCCTGCAAGCATTTTTGTGCAAACACTGTCTTTTCAGAAAGAAGACAGTGTTTACATTAAAGCCTAGGGGCACCTCCAGTAGTCATTCATCAGATGGCCACTGTAGATGGTTCGTGGGGCAGTGCTGCAATGATGTAGACCAAAGAGGCGGATCGGGGTAGGGTTAGCGCCAGCGGACCTGTGATCAGGGCCAGATTAAGAGCCCAGCTGGTGCTGACAATTATGATGGGCCTAATTACAGAATCTTATCGACCAAAAACACTCCCAAACATCATGTATCTGACGGAGATGGTGCTGGAGGGAAATAAAACAGCAGCTATAAGAAAACTCATACTTTATGCTAATCTCTCTCTAATTTATGTTTTCATCTTTCAAGTAAATCCAGAACCCCTAACAGCAGTGTCTAGTGAAGCAGGAAGTCAATGGGCGGGGTAAATGGGGTTTGCCACGGACGCAAATCACGTAACCAGTCAAAAGGGGCAAACTTGCCCAAAAAGTGTGCATGTCTGCCCAAAGAATTGGAAACCCAGCCTGGCATGAATGCATGTCAGGCTGCCTGCCAATCATGCAAGCTGGCCAACTAAGGGCATACTACGCAGACAGCACCCTGAGCTTGGCATAAATGCGTCTAATGATGCGCTCGCTTAACGCTTTCTAAGGACTGTCCCCTAGCACTCGCTGGTCCACTTGTCTCCTTACCTTCTAACTAGCAGGCAGAAGCTCCTGGTATATAGTCTGGGACAAAGTAAAACTGTATGTAGTGAGTGTAGAAGAAAGGGAACATGCCACAGTGTTAGAGAGACCAAACTCAGCATTAGCTTAACTAATTTCATTGTCAGCCAGTCCTCACAAGTTTTGTTCCCAAACATCCCTCTTAAAGGGACACTCCAGTGCCAGGAAAACAAATAATTTTCCTGGCACTGCAGGTCCCCTATCCCTCCCACCTCCAATCCCATGTTGCTGAAGGGGTGAAAACCCCTTCAGTGACTTACCTGAGACCACCGCCGATGTCCCTCGGCGGTGGTTTAGGGTCCGCCCATGCTCCTCCCCCGCCGGCGGGGGAGACCAATTGCGCATGCATGGCCACCGCCGGGATGATACCGATTACGCATGCACGGCTGCCGGCGGGATGAGACCTAATGCGCATGCGCGGCAATGCCACATACACGCATTAGACCTCCGCATAGGAAAGCATTGAAAATGCTTTCAATGGTTTCCTATGGGGATTTTAGCGACGCTGGAGGTCCTCACATAACGTGAGGACGTCCAGCGACGCTATAGCACAGAAAACCTGTGCTATAGACCAGGAAGTGCCCTCTAGACAGCCACTAGAGGAGGAGTTAACCCTGCAATGTAAATATTGCAGTTTATGAAAACTGCAATATTTACAGTTTCAGGGTTAAGGGTAGTGGGAGCTGGCACCCAGACCACTACAATGGGCAGAAGTGGTCTGGGTGCCTGGAGTGTCCCTTTAAGTTTCCATACTTAAGCAAGAGTATGTGAAAAGTAGTTAGGGTTGCAACCTTTCTTGGAAAAACATACCGGCCTTACTAATTTGCATAATCAATTATGTATGGGTGACATGATATAAATCACAAAGAGTGCCATAAGAGAAAATGCTGTTATATCACCAAAAACTACTTACAGTTTGATTCTGCTGTATAAATGGATTGCTCCCAGTGTCTCCTGGTCCCCGAATGTCTCAAGTCTCCCACTGTCTCAGTGTCCCTATGGCTCCCAGTGTCCCACTGCCCTCATGACTCAGTGTCCCCATGTGTTGATTACCCCAGGTCTCACAGTGTCCCTATGTATCAGTGCCCCATGTTTCCCAGTGTTTTGTGCTGTTGATCCAAAAGAATGCAAAAAACCCAGTTTGAAGCACTTCCGATTTTGCAACAAGCTAGGAAAAATATTCCTTCTTGACCCCAGAATGGCTGAATGAAAGATTATATCCTTGAATATTCAGTTTTTTTCAAGTATGCATCTAGTAGCTGTTTGAACATCTGTATGGACTCTGATAAAACTACTTCTTCAGGCACAGAATTCCACATGCTTATTTTTCTTACAGTAAAAAAAAACCTTTCCTTTGCCTTAGACGAATGTTAATCCGGTCCTGCCTGCGAGGTGCTGGAAAAAAGATCAGCTTTAACCCTCTCTAAGGGGGGAGGCAAGCCACCTAAATGGTTTTAACACTACAGGGTCAGGAATACATGTTTGTGTTCCTGACCCAATAGTGTTCCTTTAACCCCTTAAGGACACATGCCATGTGTGACAGGTCATGATTCCCTTTTATTCCAGAAGTTTGGTCCTTAAGGGGTTAATATATTTTATATACACATTAGAACACCTTCATTTGCTTAAATATGTATAATTTTGTGTAACCTTCTGAAAAAATATTTGAAGGGACGCTAACTCTGAAGACCCTAGAGCTATCGTTCCTTTCAGCATTAAACTATTTTTAAATGCTAAACAAATGTCCTCAGCAGCCCATCCCCTCTGTGCAGCTTGGGATACTGAAAAAGCATTAGCTTGAGCAGCAGTGATTGGCTAAAAAAAGTGTCAGATGACCCATCACAGCCCCCATTGCGGATATGAATTGGTATGGCTACAAGGAAGTGTATAATCTCTGCCTTTACCAGTCCCCCAGTAAGGGCTGGTTTGTAAATAACCAGGGACCCTTATTTAGTCATAAACTGCTCAAAACTAGTTTAATGCTGAGTAGAGGGACAGCTTCTGTGAACTCCAGGTACTTAAACTAGATGAAATGAATATAGTGCCTACAGTGTCCCTTTAAACACAGTTCTGCTATATATGCAGTGAAGCATATTTTTCTTGCAGGTAAATTAGAGTAATACTGTATGAATACAGTTTCATTGCTCACTATCTGAATACCTTCCGACACAGTGTAACTCAGAGTGCATATACTGGAGGTACATTTATTGTTTTAATGCATCCTTATGCAGCTCAATGGCACAAGCTCCAAACACACTGTGTGGACACTAGAGGGCAGTGTTCTTTGCATATCTGTTCTGGCACAACAAATGTGTGTGGGCAAAATCCATGCATATCCATGTGCACTGTGTTGGCACTATAGCTTCCCCCTCTGTCAAGGCCCCCTCCCGCAGCACTGAAAAGGTTAATAACCCCTTCAGTCAATGAGCTTAAGTTGTCTGTGTGCCTACAATGTCCCTTTAAGTGCCAGGAGCAGACCATGGTCCTCAGATGAAATGGTGGTCCTGCGAGATACAGCTTCATCTAAGTAAAACCTACCTGCCCCTGCCAAGCGGTGATTATACTATTGGAGGGTCTTAAAGGGAATTTCCAATTTTAGGACAAAATAGTCTGACGGGAAAAAAAATTATTCAGTTTAGGAGTTTTCAAATTCTGCTCTCTTGATCTAAATGTGAAATAAACTGCAATTAGACCATTACAGGTTTTGTATCTACACTCACATTGCGTGTGAGTTTAGAGGATAAAGTACAGTCTTTGATGGGAAGCTCATTATATCCCAACCTGTGAAATACATACATCAAAAACATCCAGTCTGCATTCTATCCTCTGAGTTATTGTGCTTCATTGTTCAAAGACAGAGGAAAAGGAGCAAAGTGTTGTGCCTGTCCAAATATGCATGGCCTGCATTGTGTGCATATTACCCGTATAGCCATCAACCTCTCGCAGTATTGGTATGAGGAAAGGAAAAGTTTGTTATCGAACAATCCAGAAGAACCGGCCAAAAGAAGGTCTCAGTGCTGCTGTCCTGCCTTTTTGGCTGAGATCAAGACTGATGATCTCAGCCAATCCAATGCTTTCCCATGGGAACGCAATGGGAGGATAGTGCACTCGATGAGACCATAGACCATAGAAATAGCAGAGTTTTACCCAGCTATTTCGGAGAAAGCGCCTACAGCGACTGTCAGAGTGACAGCCATTAGAGGCATTTGAACCCTGCAATGTAAACACTGCCATTCCTACCAAACAGCAATGTTTAAGCAGACAGGTGCATGGGACCCATAGTATGAAGTGGTCTGGGTGCCTATAGTGCCACTTGAATTTCCTTCAGATCTTGGTTTGGAAAACGCATACTTTAGCAAACATATACCGGTAGTTCCTCTAAACTGCACAATGTGCACACAACTACTTTCCTTCTGCAGCTAACATTGGCTCAACTTGCACCAGTTTCCTTCTGAAACTCTAAATTGAACCATGTTCACAATAAACCGTGCAGGAAAGTTCACCAATAAAAAGAATTACATGTATTGTTTATCTCCAACCAAAATCTGCATTGTAATAATGTTCTTTAATACCCATCACTTATTCTTGGCTGCACACAGCCATAAGCATCTACCTTGAATTTCTACACCTAAGCAAAATGTGATCCCATGTGACTAACCCATTCACTAGTAGTAGTGATTTGCCTAATCATGAAGTATAAAGAAAAACCGACTTGTAATTGCTATGATTTACATTATTCTACATTTCCCTGAATTTTGAATTCGGCATCAATGTACTCTTGCCCAAAGCCCTTTTTCCCCTCCCAAACATTTTTATGTTGGAGGATAGACAAGAGACAATACAGTCACAGGGTTTATTTGCTGAATTGTGAATTGGGGAAAGTTGAAAACACCCTTTTGACATTTGATATATAATTGGAAACTTAGACAAAAATCTCTCTGTTGAGCTAGAGCCATGTTTTGGAGGTTTACTTTCATTATTTAAGTTTATTTGTCAGTTGTAAAAATGCCACAAATCCCTCTTTAGTGAATAAACCCTAAAGCAGGGGTACCCAGGAGGTAGAACCCCAGATGTTTTAACACTACAGCCTCCATAATGCTTTGTAATTCTAAAAGTGTGCAAAGTGTGTGAGAGTTGTAGTTCTACAGCATCTGGGGACATACCTTTTGGGAACCTCTGTCCTAAAGTGTATGTGACATTGGGGTATCCGGTCAGAATGGTCTAAGAAAGGGCAGGGTAAATGTTCCACTTTTTAGTTTTTACAACAACAACGACCACCAAGTAAATATGTGTGATTTCTGTTTAATGTAGTGATATTCTTACAACCTTACATTCTAAATGATACCTGGTCAGATTACGCCTTGAACAGCTGACACCCCACTTGTCGACCACCTACACTTATTATCCTGAAAGTTGTGCACCCTAAGCTTCAGGTCAGGTACCTCATTCCTGCTTAATCCTCTCATTGCCTCATCAGGACGTTTGAATTATCTATGAACCCAAGTGGATCAGAAGAAAAGAGTCTCTGGGTCTGTCAGCCCTATCAGACTAGTGGAAGGAACGAATAATCAGAAGTGCAGGCAACAGCTAGCAAGACTTCAGTAGAGCAGATGGGCAATTTTTGGGATGATCTACTGTTTAAATGTCACATTGCTTGGAGGTGCCTCCCAGGACAATGAGGCTGTGAAGTGAGGATTCTATGAACAAAGCAATTAATTAATTTATACAACAGTCTGCACCACCTCCCTTGAACTGCTAAAGCACAAGCGGTACTAGGCTCCTTGCCCCTCTCGATACACAGAACAGGCACACTATTCTGTCCATCTTTGTTTACATAACACATGCATAGGCCCCCCCCACCCCTTCCATTACCAGAAATCAATCATACTGTCAAGTTTCTGGGGCACACCAACACAGCTCTTCATTGACCAGTTTCACACTGGTACAGCCCTGGCTGGTTTCATCATTTGCTATTAAAAGCTCACTGGGAGTTTAAATCCCAGAGCGGATATTGCACACTCTCTTCTGTGGTCAGTCTCGCATCATTTCATAAAACAAATAATATTACATCTTTACCTCTCCTGTACTTTACATACATGCGTCCACTTTGACCCGCATACTTCCTCACAGATACAGAACTAAGCTCCCACCTTGTTTGGTCCCATATGGCCAGTGCCAGCCTGTGCCCCATGACTACACAGAATATGCACATCGAGAGCAACAGTCCCAGCCAGTTCACTATTGCTAAACAGGCACATTCGTGTTAGTGCCATCATCCCTTTGATATATATATACAGTCTGGGAAACAAACGGAATAGTGCTACCTTGGCCATACGTCTATACACAGAATATATACATCACGGGCCAAATACAAACAGAATATACAGCAGTGGTACCAGCCACCCCTTTCTGCTGTGGTACAGGTACATCATTACACTTCCTGGTGCATGGGATGTGGAACATGGTGAAGAAGGTGGGACGGCTGGCACCAGGAGCAATCTGTGGGGTGTCCTGAGTGACGGTAGGGTGGTGGGAGCCTCTCTTGGTGATTTGTGGGGTAAAGTGTCCACATGGTAAGCAGCAAGTTTATTGGGGTAAGAGGCTACTACACATCCAGAGTTCCGAGCCGGCTTTGCTTGTCACCCACCTCCTTTAGAGAAATGCAGGTATCTGACCCATGGCATGGGTGCTTTGCCTTCTGTCCAGGGGCAGCAGGATAACAGACATCTAAAAAAATAATAGGAGTTAAGAAACACAATTAATGATAATAGTAAGAAGAATGGGAATAGGTTAACAAAGTTCGAAGAAAAGTAGGGAAAGAGACAAGTATAGCAACTTTTCATTGACTAGGCTTGAGCCAAACAGCACGTATCTCAAAATGTTGATGTTTCCAATTAGAAGACCCTCATATCCATCTATAGATATTGAGATTTTAATATTTTTTCAGAGAGACACTACTAAAGAAAAAGAACATAAGAATACAAATCCAGGTAAAATAAGACATCATTCAAACTACCCATGGGAATAATAGGAACGAGACTAAATCAGGGGTTATTGTCCACCTTCCGTACCTAATCTCCTATGGGTACGGGCTGATGGTCTGGAACGGCCACTGTGGATGAGGTAAGAGAGAGAAAAAAGACATAGACAAGACGCAGTTGAACAAGGACAGGTAAGTGCATGAATATAGGGAGCAAAAGACAACACACAATGTAGCTTAGATAGAGTGATATATGCTGGGACAATAGCTTTATCCTTATTGAAAAGAAATTCAATAATTTGTCATACATGCACTGCAAAGCTAGACTCAAAGACACTTTTTAAAGCAGCTTTCTACTAAAAAAAAAAAAAAGTACATTATCAACAAGAATCCCAAAAGAACTGTCTAAATGTGTTATTTAAATGTTTGAAACTGCTAAAATATATATAACATGGAGACTATTTTATGCTTTATTGATCATCGAAGTTCTTTTTCATGTGACATACACGTTACATATACTTGAGAGTTCTAATAAAATTTCAGTTATAATGCTAGCATATTCAGGAGCATGGTATTGAAATATAGTCCTTAATCAGTATACAGCTATAAAAGAGTACCAATCATATACTTATGTAACACTTTCATATCGTTCCGACTTATCATTATGTCCATACTACTGGGCTTTAATAACATTAGGACGTATGGACATGTCCCAAGTACGAATCGATACCTGGGGTTCCTCTCTATCTGCTGGAGCCTTTTAGTGGCCCCAGACAAACAGATGAGCTGTATGCAGTGTTCACAGTGATAGTTGCATACAGACCTTTAAATGGGGATTTAAATGCCCATTGCTGCAATGGGGTGTGAGCAGGGTTAAAATCTCTACACTCACCAGAGAACCCCACATATCAATTTATACCTGGGACTCCCCTCCGTCAGCTGGTGTCATTTTTAGCGGACCCAGGCTGACTGGTGAACTGTATGCTGCTCTCAAAGTGAGAACTGCATAATGCCATTTAAATGCATCGAAAACAACACAGTTGAGTAGACTGAGCAGATTGAATTCAGTCATGGTTTCAGCATTATTAGGAAATATTCCTGTAATGCTGAAAACATCCAGTAGATGGCGGTGACAGACCACTTTACGGTTTTAACTAGTTAACCCATCTGCTGAGATCAGTACTGATATAAGCAGAGTTTTTCTTTAAGATTAAGTGTACGGTTTAACGCTGGTTTCGGGTTAGGGATAGTGTACAGTTAAGCTCACGAGTAAGGTTAGAGTAAATATACAGCTAGAGTTAGTGAAAGCATACGGTTAGGGGTAACGTTAGTACAGCATGAGGGAGGGAGTATTAGATTAAAACCTAATTTAGTTCCTACATATATGAGACATTTAAGGTATGTAACTATATTTGAATATTTTGATAACAGTTCATTTTTTTTTTCTTCAATATTGCTTAATTTACAATGATAATTTATACATGTTAAGGGTTATTTATCAAGGTGTTCTGTTCTCAAAAGTGATGCAAAATTTTAAAAGGGAGGAGTCACAATGGGATGTGCTTGCTGGTTCCACTGGTGTCCATTTTTAGTACTTAAGACCCCATTTAAAAACAGAACAATTTCATAAATGTATTTTGTGTGTTTGTGTAGGTGGGGGAGGTATATCATTCATAATTGATTCATAAGTGATTTAGAATATGGTATTTTTTTCTGTAAAAATTATTTCTCTGTACCAGAGAGGGGACTGAATTGCCTCTCAGGCACAAAGGATCATGGGAGGGATTGACCTGTGGTTGGGTTGGAAACCCTTTGCATGGGGCCTTTGCGTAAGTGCAAGTGTTTTTCTCTGAAATAAACAGTTCTCTTGTTTTACCCAATACGACTGGTCTTGTCCACTATATTGGGGAATTTTACAATGTTCCAGAGGGCTAGAATCACTGTATGCTGTAGCTGAAACCAGGACCGGGGGGTGGAGGGATTAGAGAAATGGCGACCAAGGGACACTAAGAGACCCTGCAACCCATGACAGTATTTATTTATTTAGAGGTGCCCTTCCTTAACTTGACAAATGTTACATTTCAAATACATATAAGCCCCCCCTCCCCTACCTAAATATAGTAAAATCTTACTTGTATTCAAGTCTACAGCTGCTGCCTCTGACCCTGATCAGCCTGCTTACAGCTGACATCAAAAGTGATTCTGAAAGCCAGTCACAATGATTTGCCATAGGATTGGCTTAGATTGTCAAGGAGGCAGATCAGGGGCAGAGCCAGCACAAGTCAAACACAGCCCTGGCCAATCAGCAACTTCTCACAGAGATGCATTGAATCAATTCATTTCTATGAAGAAACTTCAGTGTTTGCATGCAGAGGGAGGAGATACTTAATGGCAGTCCCAGGAAGCACCTTTAGCAGCCATCTGAGAAGTGGCTATTACAAATATTCCTAGGCTGTAATGTAAGCACTGCCTTTTCTCTGAAAAGACAGTGTTTATATCAAAAAGCCTGAAGGGACTGATTCTACTCACCAGGACAAATACAATAAGCTGTAGTTGTTCTGGTGACTATAGTGTCCCTTTAAATACCACTTTACAGTGGTAAATACAGGCAAATAAATTACTATCTTTTTTTATATAAACTGTCCCTCAAGATTCCCTTCATCCAGTCTCCTCCCTTTCACCACCCGTTAACACAAATATCTCTCTTTCCAATATCCATTCTCCCACGTTTACTCATTCCTACATTCAGCACCTCTCTCAGTCTGTGTGTAGGAACAATTGACAGTGAAATTCTCCCACAATAGTCTAATTAGAGGCTGTTTTTAGAACAGATTAAAAACGCAGCTATCACTACTCTATGGTGATTATTGCCTAAATTGTCATATACGGCCTCCATCTACTAAATAGCCTCACACACATACACTGCACTTTCTACTTGCAGTCCCTCTTCTCCTTAGCTTCTTCTTGTACTGTAACATTTATAGCGTTTTCTTCTGTCCTGTTTACAAAGTTTATTTATCGTTCTTGCTGGTAGGTCCTTTGGCCTGTACCTGGTATTTAAACCCAGGGCTAGATAAGAAAAGCAGGTGAAGGCTAACAAGCCCAGATGCCTCCCACCCGAGCTACAGGCTGAATGGGGCATGCTGTGGTCCAAGGAGCTGAAGCAGGAGAGTAGCGAGGACAAGCAGAGCAGGAAGCAGTGAGCACAGCTGACACATAGTGAACATGAACTTTTAAAGCAAACAAGGGACATACAGAAAAGACAGGATTTTTAAGAAAAATGTGAAATGGTAACAAAAGAGAAATGTACCTATTGTAAAGGCCATTATGGAAAAAGGGGAGGGGGGTAAAAGTATGTGTACCTCTAAAAGATATCACAAGTCTTTTTTTTTTTTTAAACACAATACTATTTTTAAAGCGCCTCTATATCATGTAGCGCCCTAGATTCATTTAAAAAAATTGAACAAAAAAATTAAGTTAAAAAAAACCAAACAAACAAGACTTGAAAATAATGAAAGGTAATAGAAACAATGTGCGTTCTAAAGGGGCAAAAGATATAAAGAGGTAAGTTGGATGACACACATAATAAAAAAGCAGAAGAAAACGTGAAGGAGGAACATAGCTATAAATTTTGAGACCGACAGAGTAAGAGCGTGATGCCCACAGATGGGGCTCGGTGCTCAAGGTTTGGTCTCCCTGCAGAACAGGGTTATTTAGAGATGAATAGGGAACTGGAGAGTTCATGTTCAGGATTCAGCCACTCACCGGCCAGGCAGCCATCAGAGCCCCGCACATTGTCCAGAGTGTCCCTCAATGTGACCCGCGCAGCATTGTTATTGTCACACTCTCTGCCAGTCCTCTGCCCTGCAACAGAGTTAAGGAAATTAGAGTTGGGCAGAGGGGGGGCACCCAACAAACTGCCACACACATGAGTTAACGTGGCTCAGGTAATTAGTGTGCACAATAAGAAGAAGGGACGGAGTGTATGCCCACAGCGGGTTCAATGCCACTGCCATGCAGGACACGGGGGTGGCTGCATGCTATCACTCACATACGCCACGGAGAGGCATTCAGGTAAACATGGTTTAATGGAGCTATCTTTAGTTGTAGGGGTTCACTCTAGCTCTCTTATGCTGGTGGAGGGGCCTTACAAGCATTATGCACAATAAAGTAGGGTGCATAAGCCAATTTAGTGGGCAATGGGTGAAATGCCAAGAGTGTTACCATCATCTTCCTCTGGGGATGCAAACTCTTCCTCTGTGACATTCCCCTAAAATAGAAAGCAGCATTACAGAGTAGCAAGGGCCTCAGCCTGAATGCCACTTCAAAAGATTGCTTTTCTGTTAATATGTATATACATGAATCTATGTGCACATTATAAATGATGATAAATAGAGAATTTAATGTCAGGAGTAAACACCACGAAAGGTTACGCTGTAGCTAAATACTCTACATCACAGAATGGTGTCATTTACGGGTCTTACATCATATTTTATTAAATGGGGAGGTGAGGGTCAAATCATCACTGTCCTTTATCCAATTCCCAGTCTCATTTTCACCATTCTCTTTTTTTATCCTAAATCTTTGTGTAGTCCACTGACCCAACAACATCTCATCCCTTCAGTTTTTGTCCTTCTCCCATTTAAAGCATTAGGTTGCATCACCTCCCACCCCTCGAGAAATTGTCTGAATAAGTACCTCAGCATCCATCTCTTCTCCTGATACAGTGACAAAAAGTGCCTCCGGTGACATGACTGGTGACAGCTGTAAGAGGTTAGCAGAATGTGGTTAGATGGCCTGACACTATCTGACGGCTTAATGGCAGTAATGGGTAAAACCTCACCTCACCCTCCTCTGAGGGAGATCCACTTGGAGCTGCTGGAGGTGATGGTGTGATGTCCACTTCTTCATCCATTCCACCTGCTGTGTAGGAGCCAGACATGGAAGACACTGTGTCTGTGCTGAGCTGAGACTGCTGGCTGTGGGATGAGGCCATGGACATTACGGACTGTGCCAGGCTGCTGCTCAGGGGGTCTGTGAAAATTTTGGGAATTAAAGACCAATGGGTTAGGGGAGGGAGAAGTGTAAAATAAAGAAGACATATAGTGAAGAACAAAAGGATGTTTTATTTAAAAGCTAAAATAAGCACAGAAGCAAAAAGGGAAAAAAAATGGAGCACATGTCGAAAATTAACAGGAGTGCACTGGTCAGGCAAAATATGATCTGATGTCAGTTTAAATTGCAATTAAATATCATCTACACATCCGGTCGGTCACATTGCTACCATAGAAACGGATGATAACTTATTAAAATTGTGCCTTTAAATATCCACAAAAGTCAGGAAACAGCATTTATATAATAAATTAATTACTTTGTAGGAGGTATCACACTCCTCAAACTGCACATTTAGCTTTCCTACTCCAAGATCTTATGCTGGATGTGGCAAAGCACCTGAATCCCTATGCCACACGTGGTGGCCCACTCCTACAACATTTTTGGGCCTGAGTTTTTGATATCAAGATGGTAGTCATTGACCAATCCTTAGAAAATATTCCAGCAAATCTGTTCCTACAACACACCCAAACGCCCACCAAAATCGATCCCAAAGCACCTGTCAAAAGCTGCTAAACCCCTGATACTTCTTCATTGGAAACAAGTGCTTCCATTGCTAACACGGAAATGGATTACCAAGGATATCAAAAGGTATGGAGTGACTGGGCTGGTCTTGGATGAGGTGGAGAAAATGCTCTGTGTTCTTCAGTTTGTAACGCCCACAACTGACAACTGACTGCTTGATCAGCCCTTGCGTGGTGTGAAGAATGAGATAAGAAAATTATACACAAGTGACTAAAAAGTGCAGGAAGGTGTGATACATGTTTTCAGGGTTACTAAAGTGAGAATTCAAGTGAATTTCAAATTTAAGGCCATAGTCCTCTATGCTTCCACTTCAGCTACTACAGCCTAAAATTTGATATTCACATTGAATTCTCATTTTAGTGAATAATCCTGTTTATGTTTCTTTGCACACAATGAAAAGTTTATTCTATATAACATCACTCACATTTTACTCAACTTAAAAAAAAACCAAAAAAAAAAACCTCAACAGCAGCATATCTACATAATAGAATGCTATTTAAACAGGTTTATGCACTAAACATCAAGTGGAGAAAAGACTTGCAAAATTTAGCTTAAAAATAAAATAGCTGTGAAACATTGTCAAAATCTCCCCCGCACCATTTTGCTATTTTAACCAAATTCTGCAAGTCTGTTTTCAACTCACAGCAGCTGGTTGTTTCTGTGATCAGATCTCAAAATGTTATTGAGCTGTTGTAAATAGTCTACTCATTGCTCCAGGTGTTTCTGAAGGACATCTTAGTAGGACCTTTTATAGTGATACATGTTGCTGGAACTTGACAATGGGAGCATCCCTGTCTGGCCTAAGAGACTATAAATATGAGCAGTCTTTACTATTAAACTGGAACCCCTGTACATATCGCTGTGTAAGAGGCAGAAACACCTGCTGTGTGGTGAGAAATATGCAGTTTGTCACCATATCACACTCTGCAGAGATATTTTCAGATGTTCTGATCTTCCTGCCTTGAAAGGTACCTGTGTGTGTCTTTTTTTTTTTTTTTTTTTGCAGTAGCATCATTTGATGGAACACGCCATTCACAACATCCTGTGAAGACGTACAGTTTGATGTGCATGCTACAAAATCTTTGTTTCCCATATGTGTGATGCTTTGTTTACAGAATGAGTAGCAGGGTTACATTACAATCTGTCTCCAATAACACCCTCACAATTGCCTTTTGATATGAATGCATTATGCCGGCTTTTTGACAGCCATTAAATGTGTTTATCTGTGGTTATTGCAACATAAAAAGCCATTATGGAGGATTTGGGAATCTGACCTTCAGGGGAAGTAATGGTGGAGGACAGGGGTGTCCCTGTGCAGGAAGACTGATCGATGGCCCCTGATGAAGACAGCGTGATGTTCTCGCTTTCCGGCGTGGCTCCACACTCCTTTAGACAGAACATGTAGAATAATTAATTAGATTTCTTTGCTTCCGCATGTATGCAAAGCGTTTATTTCCCTACTGACATTCCTTAATTTATAGAATATTTTACTTTATCGTCACTCTTACATTCATATCCATTTACACTCCTCTTACTAATTAACATGCTATTGCTTCATCACTTTTCACTTTTAATTGCCTCCCCATTGTCTTGTTCCTGTGCTTATAAATTTGCCAGAATTATTTTCCCACCACTCTCTTGTTTTCTGCTAGCTCTCCAACTTTCTCTTTAAGACATTTTAGGCTCCAGCACAACTAAACTAAAGGGCTCGAGTCCTTACATTTTCTTTCATTCAGAGTTCCCTTGTCACATTACCTCTGCCAGTTGGGGAGTTTTTTTTCTGGGACTTAAAATCTCGGCTTCACTGAATGATTTCTCCATCTCATCTTCCTGAAGCACTGAAGAATTCTGGGAAATTGACCTGCAAAAATAAAAACACCTGCACTCACTGTCCAAGTTCCAGCATGATGTGGACGGACAGAATCACCTATTATAATGCACCCATTGGAATGAGGTGCATGTTACCTCTAATATAAAGTGAGTTGGCAGAGTAGGTGCCATTAAAGAGCCATGATCATTGGCTGAAAGTTTCTATATGTTTCTGCAATCAAGCGGTTAAAAAGGAAACATACAGGTGTATTTGTATTTATATGTGGCTCATTGCTTCTTCTTAGAGGTGGGAGACTTCTTGGCGGAGGAAAGGAACTAGTGGTTTATTTTGTTTTTGTTTTTTGCAAAACACAATCCGGCATCATAAAAAAAAAAAAATATATACATGCTTTAGGAAGAGTGTAACCACAATCTAATCAAGTCATTATGCCATCTCACCTTGAAATGCTCTTCTTTAGCTTTAAGGCCTGGCTTCCACATAGGTGTTGCAAGGGTGAGTGCATTCGGAGATGGGGCAACTGGATGTCACTGCCATAGGAAGGAAGAGCACAAGGGCGTCTGTTATCCCCAAGAGCATGCAATGGGGGAGCAGAAGGGGATGGTGTGAGTGGTCCATTCAGGGCCTCCAGAAGAGAGACCACTTCGTACCCTGGAGGTACATGTTCCGAAGACTGTATGATGAGCAGAAAGACCCAACATCAAATAAGATACACAAAGTGGGAATGAAACTGAAATACAACATCTTGCAATATGGTTAGTTCCTACTGAGGAGATCCTAAACTAAATCTTGAAGTTTTAGGATTATGGAAAGAACCTATGGTATTAGCATATCAGACTAGCTCCAGCCATACAATTAGGCTAAACATAAAATGCCGGGCACGCTGAAACTACACAGGTGATCTAGAAATCCCCCGAAACATTGCTTCAGGCTGGTCAGAGGAATATGTGTAATATTTCCCAGTGTCTACAGGACTACGTTGTTTTTGTTCCAAAATGTGTCACTTTACTTCTGAAGAACTCCCAAAGGGAGATCTCCAAAATGGTATTTTCAACGGAACAATGTGGCAAAGTTAGAATAAACTTGACTGCAGTAAGATCGAGGGAAATAGATACAATTTAGCAACAGAGTTATTCGCTTATTCAGTGATTTGTTAGATTCTTGCCAAAATGAACACTGTGGTTAAAGTGCATCTCTGCTTGCCTATTGAAATAGGGTTTCTGTTAAACTAGTAAAGCTCTCAATACCTCTGTAGATCAGTCAGGCTCCCAAAATCTCCCTAATTTGTTATCTAAGGATGAGGACAAAGTAGTCCATCCCAATACTGGAGTGAGGTCTAATCTCTAGTAATGAGTACAAAGGGAGTACACTTTAACCGCACTGTTCATTTTGGCAACAAACTAATACAACCTAACAAATCACTGAATAAGTGAATAACTCTGTTGCTAAATTGTACTTACTGCTGTCAAGTTTATTCCAGTGTTGCTACATTGTTCCATTTAAAATGCCAATTTGGAGATCTCACTTTGGGAGTTCTCTAAATCTAATTCTATTTAATTAACTCAGGGTGAAGCCCTATGGTGGAATTGGTACCACCGACACTGACCAGCCCTTGTCAGTAACAATTACTGCAAAGGTTATTTTATTAATTTCAGGACGTAAGGTTAAGGCCAGAGAGAAGGACTGAGACAGCATGCACTTACTGTGTGTTCCTCTGAGTCAGAAGATGGAGCTGCAAGAATTGGACTGAATCCTGTTGGGGAGAGAGGGCCCGGAACCTTCCTCATTGCTCGGATTTGGAGGAGAGCTCGAAATGCTGTTGAGGGTGAAAAGGAATGGAATCAACTAACTGCATGGTTAACTGAAGAAGAAAATTATATAATTACATTTTACACTACACACTAAAAATTCCATTTAAAAAAAAAAAAAATTACAAAAAATTATATGGAGCAAAACGTACATAAAAAAACTCAACCTGATCTACACATTGTAACCAGCATGTGTGCCTGCTTGAACTGACCATTTAAACTTTAAGTGTTCTTCACTACATGCAGTGCCCAAACCCACCACCACATGTTATTACACTCAACGCAGAGATAGAACTTAATGATATTGGACCCTGGAAGGGAATATGTTTAGTCTACCAATATTTTACTCAGCATTGCTGGATGAAACACAGATCCAATAAGCGGAGAGGGGGAGGTTAACATGGCATTAACATGGCAACCAGTGTTTAAGGGGAAATGGAGAGAAAGCACTGGAATGGCTTCGATGGCAAATATAAGAGTAGTTACCAAAGTGGGAATCTGGGCCTGACAGTGTGAGGGTGAGAGGAGGTGAAAGATACAAGAAGAGTTATGAAGAAGGTTTTCATAAATACAGAAAAAGGAAGGGATAGGCAAGGTGAATAGCGTCTGTATAAAGTGTGAGAAGAGGTCTATAACACAGGAGAAAAGCGTCAAAGACTCTGTGACGCATATGCGAAAATCTGTGATTACTACTCACGCAGCCGGCAGATTGGGCAGTTGCTAGCCTGGTACCGCAGGGTGTCAGCACACGTGTTACACAGACAGAGGTGTCTGCACGGAAGGATCAGTGTGTCCCGGACATCAGACAGACAAACAACACACTCAGCGCTGTTGTCACTAACTTCATCCTCTGTCACCTGAGATAGGACCGAAATCATGTGAAGAGAGCATATATGTTCTCGGGAAATTAACCGATATATATATATATATATATATATATACACACACACATATACACACACATACACATGCACACGTCTACTTTATCTATAATTATACAAAAACTGTGTATAAACATAAATTGATAAAACATGGAAATAAACATGTTCACATATGAAAATAGTAAATTTAATCGGATCTCTGATTAACGGTAACAATGCGAAAAAACATTAACAAAAAGTTTTGACTTATGACTTTAAAGGGACACTCCACTGCCCAAAGTAAGAAATACATAAAATAAAAAATGCAGTTTAGAAGATATACCACAAATGAAAACATACATGTATTTAACTATGCATTTTTTTAATTGGGGTATATCTAAAACATATTGCTCTCGTCTTATCTGCAGCTTTTGCAAGTCCTCCCCTTTTTCCCTAGCCCAAACCTTCTGTGGCTGTCCAATCACAGACTTCCCAATTCAGCTCAATGAAAAGTCTTTGCAAGGGAGGTGCCCTTGGCAATTGCCTCTTGAGTTTAGCTCCACTGAGCTAAACAAACCAGGAAGTAACAGGGCTTGTTGTCTGGTTAACAGGCAGGGGTGGGTGTAACAAGGTTAATTTATAAATGTGCCAATTTCTACTGAAATCTGCACTTTTTCTAAAATGGAAAAAAAGCTAAACCAGGACACTCTTCACACATAAAACATTCCAGCAAGCTAAAATGCTTTAGGGGTCTGACGTGTCCATTTAAATCTGGTCGGCATAGAAAACAATCTTTAGCCATAAATATACACAGAGGTACAAGAATGTTTTTGATTTCATTAAGGTGTTTCTGTCAGCCTGCATCAACTCGAAAATTCCTGTACAAGAATAATATATGGGCTTCACTGGTGACAAGACTACACAAGAGGTTTGACTGCAAGGAACATTTCTTGCACAAAAATGTTATATAACAATGCAAATAGTGATTCGTGCAATGATATACCAATCGCATGAAATTAAATTTCATAACAGAAAGCAACTAATTAACAAGTACCAAATTACTAAAAGTTAAGCTTAATGTAGTGGTTCAAGTGTCTATAGCCTGTCCTTGCAGGTTTTTCAATGTACATTGCTACCTTGCAACATCTCAAGTGCCAGTCACCTAAACAGTTACTAGAGGTGCTAAATATCTCAGTGCTGCACAGTGTGCAGCACCCACATTCAGGGTCTCCATGTTCTGCATGGAGATGCTGAATGCTCCCCATAGAGATGCATTGATTCAATGCATTTATCACATAAGCAATAGTCTACCAATGCTTTCCTACAGGAAAGAATTGGAATGGCTGAGATCATCAAGAGTGATAATCTCAGCCACGGAGATGGGAATAGCCAAGGCAAGACCAGCGCGGCAAGGGAGAAAAGGGGAGTAAAGATTTCATAAAAATCTGAGCTTTTATAAACCGTGGTTAAAATAGGATAGCAAGCTGAAGTGCTTTTGGTGTGTGGAGTGGTCCTTTAATAAATGTGGTTTATTTAGAAAAGGAGTGGGCAATATTGAGCACCTATGCATTCTCACACAGCCAAAAGATTGACTGGGCATCATAAAAATGGAGTACAAAGGTGGTATTTTGGTGCATGGAAGCTAGGAGGATATCGCTCATCTGTTGTTCCTTGTGATGCAAGTCAACCGACATCTAACACATTACCTTAGAATCATGAGAGTTGTACTTGTTTTCAATGCCGTAGATTTCCTGCAGGAGGTAACTGACGCCATCTACCTGCAGGAGGTAGACAAGAGCAGGTATTCAGGGGCAGTTCTGTCTGAGGCCAGATACAACCCCTGCTGTTACTTTCTACTCACCACTTGTTTCTGTTTCAACGGCTTCACACAAAAACTGCCATCTGCATGCTTCACAATGAGAAAATAAATGAGGTAAGAGATTTGGGCAAAAATGAATAAATAGATAAAAATACAAACACAAAAACAATAGAAAAAACAAACAATCAGGCTATACTTTATAACACAACATAATCAAACAAGCTCCATTCATGGCACACCATGCTCAAGCAGAGCTCTCAACGCACAATCGCCAGCAATTGCATACAAATCAAATGTAACTCAACTAACTAGAACACACTCATATATAGGCGCAAGAAGTTGCCTACCTTTTCAAATGTCGCCATCAAAACATGACAGTGCCCGAGATGTTCTGTAAGAATCAGAAGATAAATAGAAACATTAAAGCAGTCTTACTACACACCTGTCCATGCTGATACACATGGGCGTGGAATGCCCACATCCGGGATATGTAGCAGAATTTGTTAGAACAGGGGATGTGGGGAGGGTTGGTGCTGAAACAGGGAGCATGTGATCTGCACCTCCGGTGGGTACAGACTACAGTAATAGTTCTCTTGTGGTCTAGGATTCAATAAGGGGTCAGAGGGCAGGCTGGAATTAGTGGTGGATGTGCTATTACTCACAAAGTGTCAAAACCACAAGGGAGTGATTACTGTGGTTTGCACTGGCTGGAAGTGCACACCACCGCCCACTGAACCACCAGGACTTTAACCCCTGCTAGACCATTGAAAAGTTATAACTCCCACTAGACTTTTCTGGTCATAATGCTGTCTTTGCAGAAACTACGTAGGAGGGGAAGGCAAAGAAAAGCACATACAAACACTACCAGCAAACATCTCATACACACAAACTACACAGAGCCATAAAACAACAGAAACACATTGACATTACACACAACCAAACATCAGACAAGACAGTAAACATCACACACAACCAGCACACATCACACACACACACATTACACACTACATACAAATTAAATATAAATGAAACAATTGAGATGAAAAGTTGTGAATAGCTGAGCTGGAGTTTTTCCAGATTAGATTTTGTCTCTGTTTTTCCATTCGTATTTAAATTTGCAAAATTTGAAGTTCAGTGAATAACCCTGCCAATGTCAATTGCGATAGGCAGTTACCCTAATCTGAAATTATTGTGTGTGTCAGGTAAAGTAGACTGTCATTACAGACCATTAGTGAGCTACCACTTTAGTACTTTGGACAAGTACATTAAAAAAAACAAAAAACAACACGTTACACATCCCCGGATGCAGACTCTCCATGTAAAAGAAAGTTCCCTTTTCTTAATCTGATAATAATACAGAGCAACATCTGATTTGAACAGGTACATTCAACTGTTGAAAAGAAACACACCATTCATCAACACAGAAGAAAAGCATTTCCATGTCAATCACACAGCAGCCAGAGATAGCTTCCTCACTCTCTCAATAAAATATTATTCCTATCTTGGCACGTTGCTAACAGTGACCACATTCACTCTATGAGTCTTCGCTGCAGCTAGAAATACTATATTAATGGCTGTTGTCTTGTTAGGATAGAGCTACTGCATAAATCTTGGAGAACTATGAAGTCATATGTCAGTACCCTGCGCTGAGGTGGAAGGACTATCCTTCAAATTCAAGAATGCCTCAAAAAACGTCGTTCCAGGGGCAGGGCCGGACCGCCGAGCTAGCTGGTTGCAAACAAGAGCAGCTCCTGCAAAACAACGATAATTAAGCTGAAACAGAGAGGGGCGGACAAACCACCACCTACCCCCCGCAACCACACATGCCGAAGTCGAGCAGCACAAGCGACCCCAGCAAGCGGATCATGGCGACCGCACTAGGGGGAAGGAACGTTGAGCCACGACCACTCCCGCCTGCAACCAAGCGAGCTACCTCCACACGAGGACCCACCTCACACTCACCTGCCACCCAGCTTGCATCACCGCGACCCAGACAAAGGCAAACTCAGGCGACCAAAGCCGAGCTACCAGCCAGGCCTGACACCAGCCCCCAGACGACTGACAGAAGCAAGTTTCACAACAGGCGGCGGCCATCCAAGAGAACCCAGCAGTGATCTCACAGAACAGCATGGATGGACTATGCCTGGATACCTGCTACACAGTACTAGCAGAGCAGGTATCGGTTAAATGGGGGATTCCCCCCCTCGCCCCCTTGTCTGTGTGGACTCAGGACCACCCTGAAGCCAGCCTTCCCCACGGAGAAAACCCGGGTAACCCCTCCGATACACCAGGGTGCCAGAACTCCTACTTAAGTCACACGTGTAAATTATCTAGCATTCTGTTTTGTGTGGTAACCCTACGCACACATAGTTTACACGGCACTTACAAACACACATTCACATAGATATCGCTGCCCTACAAGCAACGCACAATCCAACACACCGCATCCACACAGCAGCATGTCTTACGACGCCAAACATACTTAACCAAGTGAGAACCTGTATGACTGTAACACTGACCTAGTTGTGCATTGACAGCTATGACTTGAGGCTGCTACACGAGACTATATATCTCTAATTAATACATGGACCAACGACTGACCTAGCCAATTGTGCAAACAGAGTGCAATTCATGTTTAAAGCTACCGTCTCATGCCTAGCTAACACTTGCTATATAACTCAAGCTTGATTGCCTTTCGTTAAAAGTGTGTTCACCTTATTGTTTCTCAACAAGTCACCTACACAAAAACCATCAGCTTAAGTGTGAATAACTATGTTATATGGATATTTCACCTAGCATGTCTACTACCAACTGCTAATGTCTCATAGCCTGTGATCTTTATGTTATATATAAAAAATGTGCTGTTTACACTGCCACACTTTGTGATGCCATGAAAATGACTGCAGATGCTGTCGTGGCTCTGCTCGCATGTTGTTAACTCACGCACAAATAAAAGAATAAAAAAAAAAAAAAAACACGTTCCCTGAAAAGAAGACTGGGTCTTATATTAATTTTCCCCCTTATTTTTGGGGGATGTCTTATTTCGGGGAAAAACTGTAGCAACCATGTGCTAGAAAGCAGGTCTACACTGGGGGGAATTCCCCTGAACATAGACCAGTGCACTAGGGCATGGAATCCCGCAAATCTATTTTCGTGAAACTTTCCCAAACATAGATTAGCAAACTAGCAACTAGGGCTTATTTTTGGGGTAGGGCTTATATTATGAGCATCCCCCCCAAATAAGCTATTTTCAGGGAAACAGGGTACCTGTCTGCCCTGTGTCCTATACTCCCTCTAAGATAATAAGCTGGATTGCTTGGGAAGGAGAGGTACAAAACAAAGATGGCTGGACATGGAGGAATGTGAGCAGGGATTGGAAATGTTACTGAAGAGAAAAAACAAACAAACATACACACATACATACATATATATCCCAATACTTATACAGCCTTCTCAACAGATGGTATCTGTTCTCTGACAGAAAGGAACACAACTCCCATTCTACACATTATAAAAGCCATCCTGTCACAACAATGGAATCTAGGAAAAAACTCACAGACACTGCTTTAATTGTGCTACCACCACAAAGTGAAGACTCAGTCACTTGAGAAAGCTACATCCAAGACTGGATCCAAAACTACCATAACCCACCACTAGAGAGAGCAATAACTCTCCCATCTATCAGAGAAAAGGCCCATATTTCTCACTAAAGGAAATAATATAAAAACTAAAATAAGTTTCTGATACCAAATCTTTTGGGCGGAACATTGTATTTTTATTTTTTGTTTTATTTTTTTGTTCCTGTTTCCAATAAATCCACATTTATGAACCTACCCACTTGAACCCATGGATTATCATTTATATGCAGATGATACACAAATCTACCTGCCCTCTGCGATTTCCAATTGGATGGCTGCTCACTTCCTTAAACTCAACCTGTCCAAAACAGAACTTCTGGTCTTTCCTCCCTCAAGTGTTGCTACTCCCGTGTCTGTCTCCCTCCAAATCAACGGCGCTACCATCACTTCTACCTTGAAGGCTCGCTGGCTGGGTGTTTTTTTTTACTCCAACCTCTCCTTCACCCCTCATGTCCAGTCGATCGCAAAATCCTGCCGCTTCCATCTCAAAAACATAGCTCGCATTCGCCCTTAACACATGACGCAGCTAAGGTGCTGGTCCATGCCATTGTTCTTTCTCGCCTTGACTATTGAAATCCCCTTCTCCATGGTCTTACGTGTTCCCAGATTGCACCACTGCAATCTATAATGAAAGCCGCGGCAAGGCTCATTTTCCTGTCCGCCCGCACCTCCCCCCTCTGTCAGTCCCTACATTGGCTTTCAGTTAGATAAAAGGGTTAAATTTAGGATTCTGGAGCTTGCTTACAAGTCCCTAAATAATGTTGCTCCAGCCTACCTATCCTCCCCAATACACAAATATGTCCCATCAAGGCCTCTGCGCTCTGCCGAGGACCTACGTCTATCCTCTGTCCGTACTTCCACATCTGATGCTCGCCTCCAAGACCTTTCCAGTGCTGCACCTTTTCTGTGGATCTCCCTTCCCTTCTCTGTTAGACTTTCACCCAGTCTCCCCTCCTTCAAAAAAATCTTTGAAAACACACTTCTTCAGGAAAGCATATAATTTAAACTGTAAGAGGGCTTTCATCCCCCCTCCACCCCCATGACTACTCTCCTGCAACTGTCAAAAATAACCTACTAAGTTCTCAGTGATTACTTTTCTAGCAACCTATTTCATTATCCTTACTTATACCCTTTGTGTCACTATACCCCACTCCCTCTAGCATGTAAGCTCATTGAGCAGGGCCCTCAACCCCTCCATTCCTTTGCATCTATTTGTCTGGTTACAATTACGTGTGTTAGTACACCCATTGTACAGCGCTACAGAATTTGCTTGCGCTACATAAATAATTCTCTACTTTTAATAAACAATACACCTATAATATACATACAAGTAGATAAAGAATGAGGAAGGTATTCATGCCGGATTACCCATAAATCACATCACAGTGGAACATATGTACTTGGGGTAACCAATTTTTTCTTCCTGTAATTATACCCCACTGCCTTTAGAATTTAAGCTTGTTTCTGCTGGCCCCACACCATCTTCTCTTCCTGGACTACTAGCTTGTGTCGCTGCATAGACTTGTTGGCTAGTCCACTTATTTTACAGCACTGTAGAATATGTTGGCGCTTTACACTTAATATAATAATTGATACTGCCGTCAAGTACACACAGTTTTGTAAAATAAAAATACCCACAAAGGAACAGGAAACCAAGATAATGTGAGAAAAGGGTCGCAATAAATTTACTATAGACAACCATAACCAAACACCTTCTGGTTGTCTAAATTTGTGTGGAACTAAACAATCAAAAGACATAAATATACAATACATAAATACTGATCATAGAAACATAGAATGTGACGACAGATAAGAACCATTCGGCCCATCTAGTCTGCCCAATTTTCTAAATACTTTCATTAGTCCCTAGTCTTATCTTATAGTTAGGATAGCCTTATGCCTATCCCACGCATGCTTAAACTCCTTTACTGTGTTAACCTCTACCACTTCAGCTGGAAGGCTATTCCATGCATCCACTACCCTCTCAGTAAAGTAATACTTCCTGATATTATTTTTAAACCTTTGTCCCTCTAATTTAAGACTATGTCCTCTTGTTGTGGTAGTTTTTCTTCTTTTAAATATAGTCTCCTCCTTTACTGTGTTGATTCCCTTTATATATTTAAATGTTTCTATCATATCCCCCCTGTCTCGTCTTTCCTCCAAGCTATACATGTTAAGATCCTTTAACCTTTCCTGGTAAGTTTTATCCCGCAATCCATGAACCAGTTTAGTAGCCCTTCTCTGAACCCTCTCTAAGGTATCAATATCCTTCTGAAGATACGGTCTCCAGTACTGTGTACAATACTCCAAGTGAGGTCTCATCAGTGTTCTGTACAATGGCATGAGCACTTCCCTCTTTCTACTGCTAATACCTCTCCCTATACAACCAAGCATTCTGCTAGCATTTCCTGCTGCTCTATTACATTGTCTGCCTACCTTTAAGTCATCAGAAATAATCACCCCTAAATCCCTTTCCTCATATGTTGAGGTTAGGACTCTATCAAATATTCTGTACTCTGCCCTTGGGTTTTTACGTCCAAGATGCATTATCTTGCACTTATCCACATTAAATGTCAGTTGCCACAATTCTGACCATTTTTCTAGTTTACCTAAATCATTTGTCATTTGGCTTATCCCTCCTGGAACATCAACCCTGTTACATATCTTAGTATCATCAGCAAAAAGACATACCTTACCATCAAGACCTTCTGCAATATCACTAATAAAAATATTAAAGAGAATGGGTCCAAGTACAGATCCCTGAGGTACCCCACTGGTGACAAGTGCAAGCTTCGAATATATTCCATTAACTACAACCCTCTGTTGCCTGTCACTCAGCCACTGCCTTACCCATTCAACAATATTGGAATCCAAACTTAAAGATTGCAGTTTATTGATAAGCCTTCTATGTGCAACAGTGTCAAAAGCCTTACTGAAATCTAGGTAAGCAATGTCTACTGCACCACCCTGATCTATAATTTTAGTTACCCAATCAAAAAAATCAACAAGATTAGTTTGGCATGATCTCCCTGAAGTAAACCCATGTTGTCTCTGATCTTGAAATCCATGTGTTTTTAGATGTTCATCAATCCTATCCTTTAACATGGTTTCCATCACTTTCCCCACTACTGAAGTAAGGCTTACTGGCCTATAGTTGCCCGACTCCTCCCTATTACCTTTCTTGTAAATGGGCACAACATTCGCTAACTTCCAATCTTCTGGGACTACTCCAATCTTGGCAAATAAGAGCTAAATGGTCCATCCAGTCGGCCATTTTGAACTACAGGCTAATGTTACCTATGTCCCAAGTCTTCTTCAACTTTTCTGCTATTTTAATTAAAGTATACTGCAGATACATGCAGACATTACAATCATGTCCTCTTGTACCTCTAACACTCATTAGATTAAAAAAAATTCTCTTTTAAATGTAAATGGAAGACTTACATTGCAAATCTTTGAGAGTTTACCAGGAACGGTTACATTTGTCAAGCTCCTGATTTCTGAACTGTATCTGATCATCATTAGTATATCGCCAACGTACACCACAGCGCATGTCTTGAGTACATGCTTTCCAGATTTTAGGATATCTGAGTGTCCTCTACAAAATTGTTTTGTGAAATATAAATTATAAAATGTATGAAATATAAATTAACGACTTGACATAAACCAGCTTTGGTTAAAAAGTTGCCAAGTCTAGTAGAGTGGAATAAAGGTCGGAATCACAGAATCTAAGGTGTTTGTTATACTAACATTGGGCCTAAATTAGAGACCCTGGAACCTGTACCTGTACTCACGTGTCTTCTTGATGTCTAATCATCTAATTACAATAGGGGCTGAAATCAGCTTGCCAAAAATATATCACTCAACGCACCTTCTCCAGTAACAGTGTATCTCAGGTAATTGAATACAGCCCTAAGCTACATTATAAACCTGGTGTGCTAAAATTGCCAAAGCTAAAAATACATGAATTCAACACTCAGTTTGATCAAATACAAAAATCAATAAAAGGATAAAATGCTTCACAAAAATAATAGGATTCCAACGGACATGGAATGGAAACAAAATGCCTGTGGTTTAACAGAGATGGTTTCACAGTGATAAAAAAAAAATCTAAAAGATGGTGATTAGCACTCAGACTACTCTAAATGGGTGGGGGGAGGGGGGAGACAGATTGCTTCATACATGAAATAAAGCTGGATTTAAGCATCAGCAACCTGGACCGAATTGAGCCAACATTGGACTATACTAGAATATGAAGGATGTTAAAGAGTATAGAATGGTAAACACGGGCTTGGGTTGCCTACATGTTACATTGATCCTAGTGTCCATCTCACGAATGTGAGGAGCACTCAATGCACAAATCAGGAGCAATGAGTGGATCCACATTCTGTTTTCATTTGTAGAAGACTGGGTCTAATCACAAAAGAAAGCAGGTTCTACTTTAAAATGTGCACATTGCTTTCTCCAATCAATAGCAGGAGAGCACAGAGTATCCTGTCCTGCCCCTGCTATTGTTAATGCTTTTCCACTTTGTTGTTGTATTAATATTTGTTATGACACAGGCACACAGGTTGCTATCATATTATCAAAGCTGAAGTAACAGAAGCCTAGATGATAGCTCTGAGCAAATTAGAATGTAAGATGAAGGTATAAAAACAATTGTATAAGTGTCATAAGGGGTACATATCTCACCTTCTCCTTCCTCTACCACCGCATGGACCACCATGGGATAAACCTCTCGATCCAGGTCAAAGGTTAGCTTAAAAAAAAAAAAAAAAAACACAAGAAACAAGTTTGCTAAATGGAAACTAATTTAATGATCCCTTCATACAAGAAGAAATTATTACGGATTACAATTATATAAAATATTTTCATAATTCAATTATTCGATGTTTTACACAGAATATTCAAAGACATAATGATTACTATGTGGGGTTACAACTTATTGATCAAAGGAGAAATATTTTCCCAATCTGTAGCAAAATTGGAGATCACTTCATATTGCGTTTCTAGCCTGTTTCTCGATGAACAGCAGTAACGAGAATGTGTGAAAGCCTCAATTTGACGGACTTGACTCGTCTTTCAGCCTACGTTACTAGGTAATGCTTTTTATTTTAGCTACCTGCTTGTACGGTACGGTACGCATACTCAGATAATTCCTGGTGTGCCAAGATCTTCTTAATTGATTAATTGATTCTGATGGTGTATGAACTTATCACCATCTCTCAGTCTCATCTTTATGGGGGGCTGCCACCTACTTTGCTGGGCACCTCATCCGCCAGGAGTCCATGTCGCCGGTTTATTCTTATGCATGCGCAAGACAATAAAACAGAGGTCTATGGAATATCCCATGGGACCGCAATATAAAAAACAGAGTCTTTTCCCACTGGTAACTGCTGATATGACACAACAAACCTGGACAGTAGAAGCTCTGCCTATTTCCAATATCGGCAAAGTCTATAAGATTAAGTAGTCTCTCAGTTGCTCATTAATCAGAAAATGAAATATATGCTTTAATTTGTTCTATTGGTATATGGGCCAAATAACCCACACCTTGAAAAATCTGGAAGTTTAGTGAACCGGGGCTGATAGATCATCGATCAGTTTAAATACGTGACTTTTTACATGGCATTATTTAAAGGGACACTCCAAGCACAATAACAACTATAGTGCCATGTGGTTAAGAAACCGTGCGTGCCCTCCCAGGGTTACTAGTAAAACTATTTGAAAACAGTTTGACAACTTACCTAAGGTCCACCAGGCCACTGTCATTGCCTGCAGGAGAGTCGGAAGCTCCTGTAAAAGTGCTTTGGAATTTCAGTCACTGTGAGTTCATGAATATTATATTGTTATTAAATACTCTAAAGTAACAGTCACACTTTTACAGGAGCTTCCGACTCTCCTGCAGGCAGTGATAGGTAAGTTGTCAAACGGTTTTCAAATAGTTTTACTACTTACCCTGGGAGGGCACTCATGGTTTCTTAACCACATTGCACTATAGTGGTTATTGTGCTTGGAGCATCTCTTTAAATCAGGGCTGTCCAACCTGCGGGCCCCCCAGATGTTGCTGAACTACAACTCCCATGATTCCCTGGCTATCTGTTTAATTGAAAGAATCATGGGAGTTGTAGTTCAGCAACATCTGGGGGGGGGCGGGGGGGGGGAGCCACAGGTTGGACAGGCCTGCTTTAAATAATGCCATGTAAAAAGTCACGTATTTAAACTTATGGATGATCCATCAGCCCTGGTTTACTAAACTTCCAGATTTTTCAAGGTGTGGGTTATTTGGCCCATATACCATACACCAATAGAACAAATAAAAGCATATATTTCATTTTCTGATTAGAGCCGCCACAATTTGTTTATTTTTTTTTATGTTACTTTCTGTATTCTCTGTGTACTCCCAGATCTAATGACATGCTAAATTTCACATATACAGTTTTTTTTATACTGGACCCGTATACAGGGAGCTTAAAAAAACTAGCACAGTAAGAGATTTGCTAAAAGCAATATAGAGTTTTATAACAATTTGTATCACTTATGTAAAATGCTTACAGGATTCATTTACTAAAGTTAGTTAGAATTCAAAGTTATTTCAAATTCAACACTATAGTTGCCAAACTGGAAAAATTATCTAATTCAGCTATGCTTTAAGCTCGGCTCTTCTAGCCTTAAAGGAACACTTTGGTGTTGGGAATGCAAAGATGTATACCTAACTAACGTGTTGCTCTGCCCCCGCGGTCACCCCGGCAATGTAAATAGTTAAATAATCCTTTATTAACTCATCAGACTCTAGCGCTTATGTCCCTTGGTATTGAGTCGCACTCTGCCTTCTCCGACGTCAGCCGATGGGAGGGGTCCTAATGCACATGCACAAAGTGCAGCGCACACATTAGACCTTTCCCATAGGAAAGCATTGTCTGAGATAGCAGTTGAAGGCAGCATTAGTTCCCCAATGTAAACAATGACATTTCTCTAAAATGGCAGTGTATTCCATTGTAGGCCTAACAGGGACAGGGACAAGGCGTCCAGACCACTTCAAAGAGATGAAGTGATCTCAGTATCTATAGTGTCCCTTTAAAACTGAAATTCACTTTGAATTCTCAGTTAAACACTATAAATTACCATGTTAGTGAGATGTTTATCAGAATTACATTAATATTATAGATAATACTATTTATATTGCTTATATAAGGTGTTTGTAGAACACTCACTCACCAACAGAATAGAAATGTTTTACATTGCATTCCCCCCGTCCCCAAACATAGATATGGATTGAAACCAGTTGGAAAACACAAAACAGCAATATGGATTACTTCTATTGATATAATTGGTTTTGTTATCCAGTGGTTCATTTTTAGTTTAGACTGCTTAACAAAGTTTATTAGTATCCATTAATTACAAAGATTAGATCAGCTACATTCATTAACTCCATATAACCTTTGGACTAGGCAAGCCAGTGATGCATTGCGAATTGCTATGTTAGACAAAAAAAGGGACGTATGAAGGCACTCACTTTTATGCAGTTGTATAAACAAAGAAACTCTTTAACCCCTTAAGGACACATGACATGTGTGACATGTCATGATTCCCTTTTATTCCAGACGTTTGGTCCTTAAGGGGTTAAGTAGTACTGCCTCGTTGCTCCACAATGGAACGTAAACACAATTCAAATATTAGAGAGAAATGGGCACTCGTAGGACGTTGTTAGAAAAAAGTTTAAACGTTTTTAATTGTGCAGCGTCAACGTTTCGTACCTCGTGGTCCTTTCTCAAAATCTTGAGAAAGGATCACGAGTGGGTCCGAAACATTGACGCTGCACAATTAAAAACGTTTAAACTTTTTTCTAACAAAGTCCTACGAGTGCCCATTTCTCTCTAATATTTGAATTGCTATGTTAGGCATGTACCATACACGTGCTCGCAAGGATAAAAATCTCACACAAACTGCGTAAATATAATGTTTGGCTTTACCTCCTCTTCCCTCCATTCAGAGGGATCCACCATGTGAGAAGGAAGGCAGAACTGCTGGCTCACCCCTCGCTTAAAATGCACAGTGTCCGACTGCAAGCTGCTGGATTTGGGGATGTAGCTGCAGGGGACAATAAATACAAAAACATATTGACTGTACCTGACAGATGCTCACACATCAGCGGAAAGAATAATTCCTTAATAAACTCTTAAAAATGGTGATTCTGGTTCTAAAGTATTTTTCACTACAAATTTAATGTCAAAGTAGCCGAACTGAAAAACAAAAAAAATCTCCTAAGTCAACTACACTTCCAGTTCAGCTACTTTGGCCTTGTATTTCTAATTCTCTTTGAATTCCTGACAATTCTCACTTTAGTTGATAACCCTTTTAGTTTTGTGTGTAAAGGAAATAAAACAACAACAACCCCTAACATTTTCACAATTAAAGGGACACTATAGTCACCAGAACAACTTTAGCCTAATGAAGTAGTTTTGGTGGTTAGATCATGCCCCTGCAGTCTCACTGATCTATTATTTGCTATTTAGCAGTTAAATCAATTTTGTTGCTATTTTTGCAGCCCTTGCCATGCCTCCCCTGGCTGTAACTGACACAGCCTGAATGAAAAAAAAATGGCTTCATTTTCAATTTAGATGTAACTTTACATCTCCCTGTTTTGTAAATTTTACATTAATCACACACAGGAGGCCCCTGCAGGATCTAGCAAGATATTAGCAGAGCAGGAGATAAGAAATTCTAAATATTACAGAAGGAAGTGTAAACATTAGATGACTCTTTACAGGAAGTGTTTAGGAAGGCTGTGCAAGTCACATGCAGGGAGGTGTGACTAGGACTGTTTCACAAAAGTGATTTAACTAGTAAATGGCATAGAATTGAGCAGTGAGACTGCATGGGCATGTTCTATACACCACAACTGCTTCATTAAGATAAAGCGGTTTTGATGTCCGTTTAATAGGGGGGTAAAAAAAGGATTATGAAAATCATGTAGTCAACTACAAAACAAAAACCTTTAAGAATAACAGAATCACATGCCCATTAATAGAAACAGCTAACCAATAACAGAGCAGTTCTCTACTAATAAACTGCTAATGAAACATGCCGCTGTTTATCCCATTAGAGCCAGGTAAAAACAGAAAATAAGGGTTGCTAGACCAGACTTCCCCAACTCATTTATAGTGACATATGTTCCCATACTTAGCAATGGAACCACCTGATCATCCAAAAAAATTAATGTTCTGGTAGTTCACCTGGCAATGCCTCCCTGGAACTCCTCTGATGCCTGGTAATAAATGGTTATTGCAATCCGCGCGTCTGTGTCAAAAGTGAACTCTACATTGTATTGAACTTTGGGTTGGGTTCCCTCCACACCGCTAGTTTTCACTTCTTCGGTGCACCTGGAACGAAAAAGAATGTGGAACAGAAAGCGTTCGTATTGTCACAAGGAAGGTTTGTGGTTTGTACAGTAAACTTTGCCGTTCTGCACCTAAAGGAGTTTACAGTAAAAATGACAGGTTGTTTGGTTACATTGCTCGAAATTTATATTTTTCACTAGAAAAGTAGAGGACAATTGAGATGCTAAAACGAGCTGAAAAAGAAGATTAAGGGAAAATTAGTGTCATTGGAGATTAACCCTGGCCCACGTTAACCATCCACCAGAAATCCTTTTAGAGAGATATAAATTAAAGTTTTGGTGGAATTTAAGGGTTGGTACTCCAGATACTTTTGACCTCAACATTGTATACCAGTGAAGATCAAACTTGGCACTCTAGCATTCCTTCCGTAATTCACAATAGTTATGCAACTAGATTGTAAGCACTTTCGAGCAGGGTCCTCATCAACCTGTTGTTCCTGTAACATTTTTTTAATGGATTCATTTATTGTTAAAAATGTTCCCCATTTATAATATTGTAAGGTGTGACGGAATATGTTGGAGCTATATAAATGATGGTAATAATAATAATAATATAAGTTACCAGCAGGCCCATTTAGTATTTTCTTCTCCAACTGTTGCTACATATTTCAAATGTTCATTATTCAAGAATGTAAGAACTTCTCTCCCCTAGATCTCACTATAAAATGTTATTTTACTATATATTTGCTATATACCCTTCATATAATTGAAAGGCCGTAGCGCTTGCTTTGCCAGGATACCCTAGAACTACTTATCTGATTAACCTGAATTCCAAAATATTTTTAAAATCCAGTATACTTAAACATGAATGTCAAGAGGGAAAAGAGTGGCCTCTTATTTTTAATACAAATGGTGACTTATAACAGCCCATGGGTTTCACAACTATATAAGGAACAACAAATGTAAATTATTTAACCATGACATGCTACAGACTCTTTGATTCACAGTTACATAGTTACATAGCTGAAAAGAGACTTGCGTCCATCAAGTTCAGCCTACCTCACATTTGTTTTTTTGCTGTTGATCCAAAAGAAGGCAAAAAAAAACAGTTTGAAGCACTTCAATTTTGCAACAAGCTAGGAAAAAAAATCCTTCTTGACCCCAGAATGGCTGTCAGATTTATCCTTGGATCCAGCAGTTATTACCCTACATTGAAAGATTATAACCTTGAATATTCTGTTTTTGCAAGTATGCATCTAGTAGCCGTTTGAACATCTGTATGGATGTTGGATAAGTTGCCAACATTCCTCCAACTCACCAAACATAGTGGCTCTGTCAAACAGGTTGGGAGGAGTGGGGCAAATTACAATATGAGCAGCAGTGGGTGCACTAGTATTTTACTTGTGATGAATTGTGGGCAGTTCAACCAACATGCAGTAACTTTATCTGTGCACAGTTTATAGGGAGACTAATCAGTATGGGCAGTCTGGCATTCTGAAGCGGGTTTTCCTAGATCCAACTGTACAGGAAAAAGATTGTTACAAGTAATCTGTGTCTTACCTTACGAGACGCAGAGTGTCCTTACGGATGTTAATCAAGCTGCGCAAGGTTTTCACAGGTTCTTGTGGGGAGGGGGCAGCATATGGAAACTGCAAAATGATATATATAACAAAACTTATTTTATCCGCAAAGAACAGGGGGACTAGCTGCAATACATACACGGTAGCTTGTATAATGTCATTATTGCACAACACTAAGAATGTCAGATATTCTACACATACAGATATACCACAATCGGCAAAATCATACAATTCAGAAAGTATGTATATATACTTATATATATCAAAATAAAGGATGAGAGCACTCGTTGGATTTTCAAAACGGTATATTAAGATTTAGCAAATTGTGACAATGGACGTTTCGAAGGTCTTTATCAAGATTTGCTAAATCCTAATACACCTTCTTGAAAATCGAACGAGTGCTCTCATCCTTTATTTTGATACATACAACGCTGTGTAGCACTGTGGGAATTATTATTGTTTTTTGCAGTTTCAAGGAAAAGTGCCAGATTACTTCATTTTTCTTTATATATAATACACACACACACACACACACACACACTCTCCTCATTTGCACAAAAGACAGGGAGAGAAGTTTAAACTATAAAGAACAGTTCATAATTATGATTAAATTGTTGGCTCCTGATCTTCTTCCTTAGCTAGCTATTACTAGTTGTCTCTGGTAAATGCAAAGTGTCTCTTGACAATTCTTGGTCAGAGTTCAGCCCACAAAGAAGTGAATTCAATATTTAGAACTTGGTTGTCTAGAAAACCGGATCGTGAACCCCTGCGTTGCGTTGACTTGCGTCCGTTCAGTGTTGGCCCATCTGTCATGTTCAACTAAAGGGACAATACATCTCAAACCTGCTGGTGGTAAGTTTCTCTTTAGACCTTCTGCAAGCCATGGCTGACAATACGACTAGCAATAACAGACGGATAGTCAGGCATGCAGTGTTTTCAAGTCACTGATCTAGAAGGGTTTGAAGAATTTAATAGCCAGACAGATGTTTTTAACCAAGTTAAAGAACACCTGTCAAGCAGAAATCACAGCTTTACGTGTTAAAACTCTATCTAATTGGCCTATTCTGTGAGCTAGCCATATGCATATATCATCCATTTATAGGATGTAAAGATTTTACCTTTCACTTTAGTTCTCTAACCATATTGGGGTACACACTACTGCTATTCAATTTCTGGAACAATACTGACCATGTATATGCAGACACACTTTTACAGTCCCACAATGCACTTTGTTTGGGAGTATACTTGCATTATAGGATCACGTAGCAACGCACACACATAACACGTAACGTGTAGCAGATTTAAAATGGTTTACAAAAAAAGCTATACTGATCTACTTTATATACATGTCCATTTTGGCAGAAATCTTTTACGCAAATTGTTCCGTTTTATTATTTATTTTTTCTATTATTTATGCAAAAAAAATTAATCTATTTAAACACTTGAGGCGTGAGTTTGCTTTTTCTAGTTACAGGTTTGAGTGTTGCACCATCAGGAATGAGGAAATAACGCTTTTAATAGGTTTTGTATCGTGTAAATATTTTTTTTTCACAAATAGGTGCGGCACACTGACACAACAACCGTCATGAAGCTTGAATTTTGTAAACACGGTGTGAACTTTGAGACAGGTGGCGGTAAAAACAAACAAACAATCTCCCATAAATAACCTAATTAGATTAAAGTAACTTAAAACAAAAAGCTTCGGATTGAACGAGTACAGCTGAAGCCTTTCCTCACCAGCTATGTGATCGCCTTAAGGCTTCGGCCATTTGTGATGGCAAGATTAGCATTTTCCCAGTGGCTGAAGCTATATATAGTCTCCTGGTTATGTGCCGAGCCTGGGGGAATGTAACCTTTTTATGTTTCTATGGATTACACTTTCAAAACATCTTCTATCTAGGGAATGCTTAAAGAGTTACTGCTTTATACTGTCACAAAGTGTTTTAAAATTAGTAATGTTATCTTGTATTGTTTTTTTAAGCCTTACCAACAGATGTATTAAACATTAAATAAAAAGGATTTATAGTTAGCATGGACTCCTATATGGCAAGCTAATTTTTTTTACATCCTGGGAGTTAAAGGAACACTGATTTGCCAAAAATAAAACATCACTATTTAGTAGATATGCCACAAATGAAACCATGCATGTATTTAGTTCTGCATTTGTTTTACTTCTTTGGGTTAGATCTAAAAACAGCATGCAAAAGCTGCAGATATCTTGTGTGCAGCCTTTGCAAGCCCTCACCAATCAGAGAATTCTCACTGAAAAGTCTCTGATTTTGAGCTGTGGGCACATCTTTTCCAATCCATAGACTTCTCATTGAGCTGTAGTCATTCCTAGACAGGAAGGATGCAGAGCTAAGGGTTTATGGATGCACGTGCAAGCGCTCATATGGCCATTGTCACCTGCCTCTTTCATTAGCTGTGTAGAACGAACGGAAGCAGAAGACAACCTCCCCAGCTGTCAATCAAAGACATTTCTGTAGAAGTGCCCATTTCAAACATAAATCAGAACTTCTATAAACTACAATAAAATGATAAGATCCTGACATATAAAGAACTTCAGCAAGCTGGATGCAAGACACCAGGAAATCAACTCTGGATGATGGAATAGGATCCCAACTTCACGATGGTCCCAGTGAGCCGAGCAAATTTTGGGAAGTGTGGACTGTGGTAAGAGGGAATGGGTGGCAGCTATAGTCCTTTTGTGCAATGCAGATGTACTGTACTAGAATCCTGGCCTATTCTCTAGAAAATACACCACTGAATAAAACAGCGAAAAGCACATGTAAAACGTGCTAACCTTTTGTTTCTGGGACTGGGTGGCTAATGTGCATTTGTGGCAATTTCCACACGGTGTTAATCAACATCTACTCATGGAGATCCATTAGCTCAATGCAACTCTCTAGGGAGCGCTCAGAATTGCGAAGACGCTGAATTTTAGTCTCGCAAAGTTTGCAAGATTGAGAGACTGAATTAGAAAGCACCTTTAGTGACGGTCTAAGAGACAGTCAAAAGAACTTTCCTTAGTGACAAATGTAAACACTGTCTTTTCTCCAAAATAGTAGAGTTTACAAGCGTTTTCAGATACTGCAGTTATTTTTGCACCAGAACCACTAGATTAATCTTGTGTGGTTCTAGTCCTTAGAGTGAGCCATAATTATAGATTTACCATTGTCATAACAGTCAGAGCACCCATTGCTTGAAGGAGGATACATAGAATATTTCTCAATCATGACTGACAAGTGCAAAGGGTAAGGCTTCTAGCAATGGGAGCCAAAATGGAGCCATTCATTGTCATGATACAGATAAATATAGAGCTGTGGGAGCAGTATTATTTATTTATTGCATATAGTGGATAAGAAAGCATAATATTAAAAAAAAAAAAAAAAAACATGTTTAAGCCATGTGCTACAAGTTCTCTAACCATATTGGGGTACACACTACTGCTATTCAATTTCTGGAACAATACTGACCATGTATATGCAGACACACTTTTACAGTCCCACAATGCACTTTGTTTGGGAGTATACTTGCATTATAGGATCACGTAGCAAGGCACACACATAACACGTAATGTGTAGCAGATTTAAAATGGTTTACAAAAAAAAGCTATACTGATCTACTTTATATACATGTCCATTTTGGCAGCCATCTTTTACGCAAATTGTTCAGTTTTATTATTTATTTATTTTTTTCAAATATTATGCAAAAAAAATCTATTTAAACACTTGAGGCATGAGTTTGCTTTTTCTAGTTACAGGTTTGAGTGTTGCAACATCAGGAATGAGGAAATAACGATTTTAATAGGTTTTGTATTGTGTAAAAAGTTTTTGCACAAATAGGTACGGCAATGACAAGGGGCCTATTGTTGAGTCCTGAAATGACAAGGGGCCTATTGTTGAGTCCTGATCCAGGGGTTAGTACAATCCTATGCTGTAATCAAAGACATCTAAAAGTATGTTTGCAGTGCCTAGATGCATCCAGACTAACAATGTTTACAATGCAGTTGCTCAAAAGAAGCAATCTTCTTTTAAGAGAGCGAGAGAGAAAGCTTTTCTATCACATAGGCAAGTTCCCCTCTTTAGCCTGAGCCTCCATGGCTGACATCCCTCTCTGTTGATGGGGGGGCAACTTGGAACGAGGGCTGTTCCACCACCACTGGCTGCACCTCCAGCAGCAGAAGGGTTATCACTATATGTGCAACGTTTCATAGTGAATCACTGCATTTACAGGTGACAAAAAGAGAACAATGTATTTAGATTTTAATTATTTATCGCCTGTACGGGGGTTAACCCCTAGTGAAAGAATTCACTATGAATTGTAAACTTAAAGCGTAAATGGCAGGAGACATGGGAGAATAATAAATAATATCCCAATTGGAGTGGGCACCTCAAAGGAGGCTAAGGAGATGCTGAAGAGTAATATCAGTCAACCCTTAAGGGAAAATATATGGTGCAAGCCCACATTGAGTGCTAGTGTAAGTCTAAAACTTAACCTTTTAACGAATACATATAAAAGTACAATACTACTAAAAAAAAAAACACAACAAAAAAAATATTTACATACGTGATTTGAAAACAAATTAAGTCCTAACGTCTTAATAGTAGAAGTCAAATAAAAAGTGGACAATCTACTAAACAGCGACTTTGACCTATAGTGACAACGTAAATAAATCGCTGTACAAAACGGACAGTGCTATCCCTAAAGGATCAGGCTGTACTAAATAGCTCAACAAAACGATTGGACTCGCGTGATGGGGACCATCTATTCATATATGCAAAAAATGCGTGCGGATACCAAAAATAATATACCGATATCTGTGCCTAGGAGAGGGTTACTCCTTTACTTATAACCATGTAGGATCAAATGACTAGCACTCAATGTGGGCTTGCAACATACATTTTCCCTTAAGGGTTGACTGATTTACTCTTTTGACTGATATTACTCTTCGGCATCTCCTTAGCCCCCTATGAGTTGCCCACTCCAATTGGGATATTATTTATTATTCTCCCATGCCTCCTGCCATTTGCGCTTTAAGTTTACACTGCATATACAGATTCAGGCACAATGACCACTTCAAATCACTGAAGTGGTCATGGTGTTTGGTGTAATCCTTTAAACATTGGAAGTTTTGGATGTTAAAAAAAAAATTAAAATTAAAATTTAATCTGTAATGACAAGTGGAAAAAGCGGCATTGGTCTCCAATCCAATCTGTCTGATCATTTCCGTGGTGACTGCCTCACGTTTAGTAGTTTAGAATACAACCCTTTTTATTCAAAATCTCTATTGCTTCTATTTCTCTTTCTGTATCACAATGTGTGCCTTGGCTGTGCCTAAACTGGATTCTAATGTAATTTGCTAAATCTTAAATATACAAATTGGAACATCACATGAAAAAAGGTTAAAAAACACACGTTCTTATGTTTTACATTATCAGTGTAAATTCCTAGACAAGCAATGGTTTCCCTTTAAAGATAAGAACTGTCAACATGCTGTGCAGCCAACACTTGTGTTGTTTGTATCAGCTTAGACTCAATAGCACTGAAGGCTTAGAGTGAGCTACTGAGTAAAGCTGTGATAATGACCATGTGTACAGCTGCAGTACGGAGTGATTGATGTACTCTGCCTGCATGCAGTGACACCTATAGCTGAAGAGTTAATAGTTTGTGTACGCCTGCTCATAGGATTAGCCATGCACGTGTGAACACTCTGATCTGCTGTTGCTCATAGTAGGGGAGGGTGCTCTATCCAGGCGTGCTCCAAACAAACAAACACTAGCACAGCACAAGGAATACTGTGTGCAAGGCTAGCAAATTAGTGGACGTAGATGGAAATGGAGAATTAATGGAATGTAGACAAAATAGCATACACATATAGATACTGAAATAGTGGATAATGAATATTTGGACTAAACTAGTACACGCACAGTGATGTGCATGTATCAGCAAGGAAGCAGTCTGTTTACATTCTACGTCAGTGAAAATAGCTTACCAGGAAAGTAAGTTTACAATGCAGGTCAAGGTTCACAGCAATAAAAGCAAATATGTCAGTACATACCGTTACAGGGCGGCTCCCCAGAAAGTTCAGATCACTGTTTTCTCCAAACAGGTATCCTTCAGGGTGGCTGGACTCAAACTTTTCTCCACCCATGATAAAATGGCTGGCAAAGTAACTGCCTAAAGTGAGAAGAGATTATTATCCGTAAGAGATAAGAGACTAAAAAAGGGATTTTTGCTTTTACAATAGATTGCATTTTTTACAGGGGATTAATAACGAAACCATGGAATACGCTAAAAATGTCATGGAGGGAATATAGTAGAATTGCATAATCAATCTTTGTTATTTTGCTTTCTAAATGTCCTCCCCCTTCACAATATTGTAAAGCGCTGCGGAATTAGTTGGCGCTATATAAATACCAATATCAATAATAAAATCTGCAATATCTTTTCTTCCCATTTCAAAACATTTTCGTACAGAAACTCCAAATTGGTAATGGTCAATATATGTTCTAATATCCTGTTAGTTTTTGTTTGTTTTGTTTTGTAGTAAAGGTGTAAATCTGATGCCCCAAGATGTTACCAGATCTCAATCTCTATTTACTCTGTAGTCAGTCTATCATTGTCCAATATTTTAGTTTCTCCGTTTGACACCCCTCTGTAGGCCTGCTTATTTATGGTCCAAATTTATTCATTTTTTGGCCCTTTTCCAAAGTTAGTTGAATACTGTTTCCAACTTTTCAAGTTTTTATAATTAAAGGGACACTATAATTACCAAAACAACTTTGGCTTATTGAAGCAGTTTTGATGTATAGATCATTTCCCTGCAGCGTCACGGCTCAATTCTCTGCCACTTAGGAGTTAAATCCCTTTATTTATGCACCCTAGTCACACCTCCCTGCACGTGACTTGCACAGCCTTCCTAAACACTTCCTGCAAAGAGTCAGCTAATGTTTTGACTTCCTTCATTGCAAATTCTATTTAATTTAAAATGTATTATTCTCTGCAATTTTAATAGCTTGCTAGACCCCACAGAGGCATTCTGTGTATGATTAAAGTTCACTTTAGAGAGCAGGCAATAATAACTTTTAAAGTAAGTTACATCTAATTGAAAGTGAAACCATTTTTTTTTCCATGCATGGTGTGTGAGTCACAGACAGGGGAAGTGTGACTAGGGCTGCATGGACAGAAACTAAAGGGATTTAACTCCTAAATTGCAGAGATGTGAGCAGTGAGACTGCAGGATCATGATCTATACACTAAAACTGCTTCCTTAAGCTAAAGTTGTTTTGGTGACTATAGTGTCCCTTTAAAAGGACCACTATAGGCACCCAGACCACTTCAGCTCAATGAAGTGGTCTGGGTGCCAGGACCATCTAGGGTTAACCCTGCAGAGAAACTGCTATGTTTACACTAGGGTTAATCCAGCCCCTAGTGGCTGTCTCATTGACAGCCGCTAGAGGTGCTTCCGCGCTTCTCACTGTGATTTTCACAGTGAGAAGACGCCTGCGTCCATAGGAAAGCATTGAGAAATGCTTTCCTATGGACTGACTAAATGCGCGTGCGGCTCTTGCCGCGCATGCGCATTTAGCGGATGATGTCGGAAGAGGGAGGAGAGTCCCCAGCGCCGAGGGAGGCTGCCACTGGAGAAAGGTAAGACTTTAACCCCTTCCGCCCCCTAGAGCCCGGCAGGAGGGGGGGACCCAAAGACCCTATAGAGAGCCAGGAAAACAAGTTTGTTTTCCTGGCACTATAGTGGTCATTTGAGCATAAAATATAAAAATATCTATCAAATAAAAACGCACAGCACAATAACTTGCCCGTGGTGTCTTAAAAAGCAAATCAAACCAAACCAAAAAGGGAAGCTATGGGCGCTATACCTGCAGAAGAATGTGCATTCTCCCAGCACATCCTACAACCAAGCTGCCATGTGTTATGTAGAATGGGCAATTCTGGGGCAAAATTGTATTCCATTGGCTAACATTGTGATTGCTCCATTTTTACAGCTTTGCCACATATTGATATTTTATCAACAATTAAAAAACAAAAAACAACAAAATACAACAAACAATGTAGCATGTCAAGGAACTGAAATGTAAAATCTAGCAATAGGGCTATAAATAAACTACTCAACTACAGCACAGAAGCTGCAGGTTAAAAAAAGCAATGTAAAGAGTCTCCAGTGTGCATTTAAAAAGTTTGATCTTCAGCTTATTGCATAAACTTTTGTCATTTAACTTTTAAAGGACCACTATAGTGCCAGGAAAACAATGCTTTCCTATGGACACTGGCGTCTTCTAACTGTGATTTTCACAGTGAGAAGCACTCAAGCACCTCTAGCGGCTGTCAATGAGACAGCCACTAGAGGCTGGATTAACCATATTATAAACATAGCAGTTTCTCTGAAACTGCAATGTTTATTAAAAAAAAAAGGGGTTAATCCTAGATGGACCTGGCACCCAGACCACTTCATTAAACTGAAGTGGTCCTTTAATCAGGAGATCGTGATAATTTTCAATCCACTACAGATTTCAGACTTTTTCAGAATTGGAAAGGTTAAAATTTAAATCCACAAATTTAGCATAAGATCTGGTAACGGTGATAATCTAGCACAGAAAAATTTAACAGTAATCAAAATTAAAAAGTGTCAGCTATATTTACCATAGTAGATGTAAACTGCCTGGAATTAAAATTGAATTGCAAATTTTAAGCCAAAACAGTAAAATCGAGAAAATGCAAATCAGCTATTTTGACAAAAAAATAATATATATATATATATATATAAATTAAAGCAAGCAATCAATCTCACATTTCAGCAGTTGGCTGATCAGCTCATACTGTAGAAAGCTGCCCAGTCGATTCTAACTTCACTATACCAAGTGCCACCATCTCAGAAGTAGAATAGTCTGTCACCTCTAATAATGATCAGCTTTCTACTCGAAATCTGTGTCACAACTGATTTTGCTCTTCTCAGTGACTCTGGAAGATCTTGTGTTTCAGCATTTTGGGCTATGAAAGCCATTAAAATACGCTGTGGCCAAATAACCGTTATCTTAGCTGCTAGTGCCAGGCATAGGCAACCTTCGGCACTCCAGATGTTTTGGACTACATCTCCCATGATGCTTTGCCAGCACTATGGGTATAAGAGCATTATGGGGGATGTAGTCCACAACATTTGGAGTGCCGAAGGTTGCCTATCCCTGATTAGTCCATCTGCAGTGCATCAAAAGTCAACCCTACCACAACATCAAGTGTAGTGTGACCAGATAGGGGTCAATTCTCAACACAAGGCACCAACACTCATACAACACAAGGACTTCCTTTCTAAGAGGTATGCATTATTCATGCCGGCTGATTTCTGGAAACACTGTATTGTTAAGCAGAAGAGGTTGGTTGTCCGTACCAGGGAGTGCTTAGACAGAGCAGAAAGGACAGGAAATAGTGAGCACAGTACTGCTATATACATTGTATATTGTTGACATGTAATCAATACCGTAGTTAACGTTACCCAGCAAATTAAAGTCTGACCAGATAAAAATATATAAATAAAACAATCTTGCAAAGTCAAAGCTTGACTCGTGAATACCCAATAGATCATATTACATTAAGCTGAAATTCAGAACTGGCTGAGCTTGTCCTTATAATCTGAAGTCCAAAGAGGTATTCACAATACAATGCCAGGCTGTCCTGATAATCTGCAGCAAGGAGGTTAAACTAAATTATATATGAATCCTGCACTGCCTGAGCCGGTCCCGATAATCTCAGGAGCCAGGGAGGTTAGATCTGTTTTCAACTCCATCCATATTTTTAGCTCATTGTTTGAACGGAAATGGATCACAACTACCCTTTGAGAACGTTTTTGATGGTAGCTGCGTTAGACATATACCCAGCATTTTCTGAGCTCATTTGTGATCATCTGAAATGTCAGTCCTTGCACAGAACACTGATTAAATGACAACAGTGCAGCAGCCACCTCGTGCCCCTATGTGAGGCTCTGCAGGGCTAATGCAGTGAGCTAATGCAGTCATAGAAAATGAAGACACGTGGTATTGTATAGGATGTCTCGGTCTACTCTTGCAAAGTATCTAACCAGTACATGTTAGTTAAGAATACACAAAATACAAGAGTATATGCATTGCAATACTGTAGATTGAAGATTTGTTATATGCACACACACATGCACATCACATTATTTGATTTTTAAAGTACAAACATAAAGCAATGGATGGCACAGTATATGTTTATATTTCCTCAGTGTGCAGGGCAGTGTATTGTAATTTTGATTTAAAGGGGGTGGGGGAGGGGGGGGGCACAAACCATACAAGGCTCAAGTTCTTTGAGTTCACAAAGGTAAGAGCAATAGTGAATAAAATAGCATATGGGATTAAATCAAAGCTGATGCTGTGACCTAAAAAGCTATTAAAGGGATGATAAAATGCTGCAGGTAATCTTAAAGCAGACTGCCATGAATCAATTACAGTATGTAGAAAACAAATATGCACTAGAAACAAGGCTGTAAATAAAACAGGTTTTTTACAGTAGAGGACAAGGGGCACAGTAGGACATCTGATTAAAGAATAGCACTTGGCTTTCCATATTATCTTCTCTTAGTCTGACATTAACACGTTCAGCTGTAGTAAGGCTAGCAATGTTCTGAGCTGCAGGCTTCCTTTGTAAGAAATATTCAGTGTTAAGTCTGGCATCTATTAATAAACTACAATTCCCATAATGCTCTGCCAGCTATTGAAGCAGAGAGTTGCAGGAAAACTACTTTAGCAACAGCTGGTAGGACAAGTCTGATCATCCCTGTTTCCAATCAAAGGAGTTACAAGCCTACGTGTGATCAAACAGGATCTGAGCTTTTACAACATGTTGCATCGCATGTAATAAAGCCACTTTCATGTGCACTTACAGGCTATGTTACCGCAAAGCTGCAACTGGCATCTATATCGACAATAAACGAACAACAACTAGAGCAGGGGTCCTCAAACTCCGGCCCCCCAGATGTTGCTGAACTACAACTCCCATGATTCTCTGGCTACCTATGTAATTCAAAGAATCATGGGAGCTGTAGTTCAGCAACATCTGGGGGGCCGGAGTTTGAGGACCCCTGAACTAGAGTGTATTTGGGAAACGTGTATTGTGCACACATCCAGTGCAGTTATGCTATAGACAGCAAGGACACGGAGTTTAGATTTGCAGCACAGCTACACAAATAAACAAACATGACTAGCCATGAGAGATGAGTCACCTGCACCCAAAAGGTACACCGTGACAATGAACAAATTCACAATTTTCTGGATTCCACTTCTTTTAAAGCAAAAGAGGACAACTGGAGTGAAATGACAATTAGCTTGGCATGAAGGCTAATTTGGCAACAATTCTCAATTCAACTTGGTTAGTAACTTACTACAACTGCACTATTTTGACCTAAAATTTAACAAGTCAGGTGCCAGCTGTCTGCAATGACTAACCTGAACAATTGACTAAATAAGCACACATGTTGCAACCATGTATTATGATACAGATATCACATAGATATAAGCAATCTCACAACATGCTGCTGTGGAACAGAATTATTTTTGGGAGGGATCATGGGAAACAGTTCACAGCAGGGGGAGTGCTGCATGACTGATTCTCTACTTGAAAACAGCATCAAATACAACAGGAACACACTAGTGTAGGGGTAGGCAACCTTTTAGCAGCACTGTGCTGAAATAGGATTGTGATGTCCCGAGATCACTTCCTCTATGTGCTGCAATGCATAAATTGAGGATTGTCCAGATATCTGAAGTTTCACTGGGACTCCTAATAGGTCAGAGCATGTTTCACTCTAGCAGCCTTGAGTGACGTGCATTTCACATGTGCCATAGGTTGCCTACCCCTGCACTACTGCGTTTAATTTAAAAAAACAGGGAAAGGCAACCTTCGGCACTCCAGATGTTTTAGACTACATCTCCATAATGCTCTTACATCCATAATGCTGGCAAAGCATCATGGCAGGTGTGGTCCAAAACAGTGCCGAAGGTTGCCTATGCCGGCAACAATGAACCATGAAAAAAGGGAACTGCAAATCTAGATCAATGCTGGCTATAAAATAATACAAATTGGTGAATTCTTCCACTTTGACTACTTTGGTCTAAAACAAAGGTAGGCAACCTGCGGCACTCAACAAATGTTGTGGACTATATATCTTATGATGCTTTGCCAGCATTATGGGAGATGTAGTTCACAACATCTGGAGTGTCGAAGGTTGTCTACCCCTGATCTAAAATGTCAAATTCTCTTTTCTACAATGTATTGTTTAGTAGATAAACCCCAGCATGCATAAAGACACATCATATATATGCACAGGGATCATATACATTGAAAAAAAGCTACACTTCACATAAAGTAGATAAGTAACTTAAATATATGAACACATTTACCACATACTTGGGATTAAGTCAGGGTGGCAAAATGTAGATCCCCAATAGGCTACACATTAGGAAGTAATCCCTAAAAACGCCTGATGCATGGCCATAGTATCAATTTGCAAGATAAACAGACGGCAACATAAAATCTCAAAGCAGTCATGTATCTGATAGCAGTATGGTCTGCATCCATTAATAGTATAGGAACAATGAAGCCTTCACATAAGGAGCCAGGCTAAACACCAGCATTTTTCATTGGTTTCCATGGTGATTGCTCCATTGTAACAGGTTAACTCTAAAATTAATCTTCATCCATACCCACCAATGTATAGACCTACATGTCACCCACTGATATGAAGAGACACTGCAACAGGTTTTATTCATAAACAGTGACTGTTTAACTGTTTCAGTATTGGACAAAATATCCTAACGTTTATTGAATGTGAAATAGAGAAATCTATGAAATTATAGGTCATGGGGAAATCACGGTGGGAATTGTGAAGAATTCAAAGTGTTCAAATCTTAGGAAAAAAGTATAATCATTTTAGCTATTTGGCCAAAATGTTAATATTCCCTTTGACTTTTGAATAAATCACATTTTAGTAAAAATACTTACTTATGATTGATGCACTGAAACAGGAATCAAGGGAATTGTAAATTGTAGTGAAAGAAACAAATATTTTGCAATTTCCTGTTAGTTATTCCTAATTCCTGGTTTAGTTATGCTATGAACTGCCACTTTGCTGTAAGCACCCCTTATATTTACCAACCCCCTCCCTTCTGGATAAAGGTCTATTCAATGATACAGTGAATTCCCTATATATTTCCAGGTGAAATTTTAGCACTAGGAAGGAAGTCAAAGCAAGCTAATTAAGAATACAAAAACAATAACGGCCATAGTGAAAAAGCAGATAGACAGGGCAAAGTCATTTTTGGTTTATGGTAAACAGTGCACCAATATACAATATATCACATATCCCTTTCCTTGGGCACTCACCAGACTTGGGTGGGTATCTGTAGATGGAACTAGATGGCATGTCCATTTCTTCAACACCTGCATGCTGCCGGCTTGTGAGCGCCCCCATTCTCACTGCGTTTCACTGGAGAGCGCTGCCTTAGTACAGTCCTGTTACCCCACCTAGTGTCATCACTCTTCTTTACCTGTCATCCACTGATACAAAGAGAATAATATGTAACTTCCAAACTACTACAGTATTACTGACAAGGTAAAACAACCTGACGAAATATTTTAATTCAGATCCATCAATAGAATTCCCATATACTCTGAATGCTTCCTCTTCATTAAATCTGGAAACTGTAGGATGTGTCCCTCTACCTGTCCATCTTACAGCAGCCCTGTCATAGGATGTGTCCCTCTACCTGTCACCTTATAGCAGCCCTGTCACAGGATGTGTCCCTCTACCTGTCACCTTATAGCAGCCCTGTCATAGGATGTGTCCCTCTACCTGTCCATCTTATAGCAGCCCTGTCACAGGATGTGTCCCTCTACCTGTCCATCTTATAGCAGCCCTGTCACAGGATGTGTCCCTCTACCTGTCACCATATAGCAGCCCTGTCATAGGATGTGTCCCTCTACCTGTCCACCTTATAGCAGCCCTGTCACAGGATGTGTCCCTCTACCTGTCCACCTTATAGCAGCCCTGTCACATGATGTGTCCCTCTACCTGTCCACCTTATAGCAGCCCTGTCACAGGATGTGTCCCTCTACCTGTCCATCTTACAGCAGCCCTGTCATAGGATGTGTCCCTCTACCTGTCACCTTATAGCAGCCCTGTCATAGGATGTGTCCCTCTACCTGTCCATCTTACAGCAGCCCTGTCATAGGATGTGTCCCTCTACCTGTCACCTTATAGCAGCCCTGTCATAGGATGTGTCCCTCTACCTGTCACCTTATAGCAGCCCTGTCATAGGATGTGTCCCTCTACCTGTCCATCTCATAGCAGCCCTGTCACAGGATGTGTCCCTCTACCTGTCCACCTTATAGCAGCCCTGTCATAGGATGTGTCCCTCTACCTGTCCACCTTATAGCAGCCCTGTCACAGGATGTGTCCCTCTACCTGTCCATCTTACAGCAGCCCTGTCATAGGATGTGTCCCTCTACCTGTCACCTTATAGCAGCCCTGTCATAGGATGTGTCCCTCTACCTGTCACCTTATAGCAGCCCTGTCATAGGATGTGTCCCTCTACCTGTCCATCTCATAGCAGTTCTGTCACAGGGATGTGTCCTCTACTTCCGTTCACCTTATGTAGCAGCGCCCTGTCATAGGGATGTGTCCTCTACCTGTCCATCTTATAGCAGTTCCGTCAAGCAGGATGTCCTCTACCTGTCTATCTCTATAGCAGTTCTGCTCAAGCAGGAGTCCTCTACCGTCTGCACCTTATAGCAGCCCTGTTACAGGATGTGTCCTCTACTTCCGTCTATCTCATAGCAGCTCCTTGTCAAGCAGGATGTGTCCTCTACTTCCGTTCACTCTTATAGCAGCCCTGTCACAGGATGTGCCCCTCTATCTGTCCATCTTATAGCAGCCCTGTCACAGGATGTGCCCCTCTATCTGTCCATCTTATAGCAGCCCTGTCACAGGATGTGTCCCTCTACCTGTCCATCTTATAGCAGCCCTGTCACAGGATGTGTCCCTCTACCTGTCCATCTCATAGCAGCCCTGTCACAGGATGTGTCCTTCTACCTGTCCATCTTATAGCAGCCCTGTCATAGGATGCGTCCCTCTACCTGTCCATCTCATAGCAGCCCTGTCACAGGATGTGTCCCTCTACCTGTCCATCTTATAGCAGCCCTGTCACAGGATGTGTCCCCTCTCACCTGTCCATCTTATAGCAGCCCTGTCACAGGATGTGTCCCTCTACCTGTCCATCTTATAGCAGCCCTGTCACAGGATGTGCCCCTCTACCTGTCCATCTTATAGCAGCCCTGTCACAGGATGTGCCCCTCTACCTGTCCATCTTATAGCAGCCCTGTCACAGGATGTGTCCCTCTACCTGTCCATCTTATAGCAGCCCTGTCACAGGATGTGTCCCTCTATCTGTCCATCTTATAGCAGCCCTGTCACAGGATGTGTCCCTCTATCTGTCCATCTTATAGCACCCTGTCACAGGATGTGTCCCTCTATCTGTCCACCTTATAGCACCCTGTCACAGGAGGTGTCCCTCTATCTGTCCATCTTATAGCAGCCCTGTCACAGGAGTGTCCCTCTACCTGTCCATCTTATAGCAGCCCTGTCACAGGATGTGTCCCTCTATCTGTCCATCTTATAGCAGCCCTGTCACAGGATGTGTCCCTCTATCTGTCCATCTTATAGCACCCTGTCACAGGATGTGTCCCTCTATCTGTCCACCTTATAGCACCCTGTCACAGGAGGTGTCCCTCTATCTGTCCATCTTATAGCAGCCCTGTCACAGGAGGTGTCCCTCTACCTGTCCATCTTATAGCAGCCCTGTCACAGGATGTGTCCCTCTACCTGTCCATCTTATAGCAGCCCTGTCACAGGATGTGTCCCTCTACCTGTCCATCTTATAGCAGCCCTGTCACAGGATGTGTCCCTCTACCTGTCCATCTTATAGCAGCCCTGTCACAGGATGTGCCCCTCTACCTGTCCATCTTATAGCAGCCCTGTCACAGGATGTGTCCCTCTACCTGTCCATCTTATAGCAGCCCTGTCATAGGATGTGTCCCTCTACCTGTCCATCTCATAGCAGCCCTGTCACAGGATGTGTCCCTCTACCTGTCCATCTTATAGCAGCCCTGTCACAGGATGTGTCCCTCTACCTGTCCATCTTATAGCAGCCCTGTCACAGGATGTGTCCCTCTACCTGTCCATCTTATAGCAGCCCTGTCACAGGATGTGTCCCTCTACCTGTCCATCTTATAGCAGCCCTGTCACAGGATGTGTCCCTCTACCTGTCCATCTTATAGCAGCCCTGTCACAGGATGTGTCCCTCTACCTGTCCATCTTATAGCAGCCCTGTCACAGGATGTGTCCCTCTACCTGTCCATCTTATAGCAGCCCTGTCACAGGATGTGTCCCTCTACCTGTCCATCTTATAGCAGCCCTGTCACAGGATGTGTCCCTCTACCTGTCCACCTTATAGCAGCCCTGTCACAGGATGTGTCCCTCTACCTGTCCATCTTACAGCAGCCCTGTCACAGGATGTGTCCCTCTATTCGTCCACCTTATAGCACCCTGTCACAGTGGAGGTGTCCTCTATCGTGTTCATCTTATAGCAGCCCTGTCACAGGAGGTGTCCTCTACCTGTCCATCTTATAGCAGCCCTGTCACAGGATGTGTCCCTCTACCTGTCCACCTTATAGCAGCCCTGTCACAGGATGTGTCCCTCTACCTGTCCATCTTATAGCAGCCCTGTCACAGGATGTGTCCCTCTACCTGTCCATCTTATAGCAGCCCTGTCACAGGAGGTGTCCCTCTACCTGTCCATCTTATAGCAGCCCTGTCACAGGATGTGTCCCTCTACCTGTCCATCTTATAGCAGCCCTGTCACAGGATGTGTCCCTCTACCTGTCCATCTTATAGCAGCCCTGTCACAGGATGTGTCCCTCTACCAGTCCATCTTATAGCAGCCCTGTCACAGGATGTGCCCCTCTATCTGTCCATCTTATAGCAGCCCTGTCACAGGATGTGTCCCTCTACCTGTCCACCTTATAGCAGCCCTGTCACAGGATGTGTCCCTCTACCTGTCCATCTTATAGCAGCCCTGTCACAGGATGTGTCCCTCTACCTGTCCATCTTATAGCAGCCCTGTCACAGGATGTGTCCCTCTACCTGTCCATCTTATAGCAGCCCTGTCACAGGATGTGTCCCTCTACCTGTCCACCTTATAGCAGCCCTGTCACAGGATGTGTCCCTCTACCTGTCCATCTTACAGCAGCCCTGTCACAGGATGTGTCCCTCTACCTGTCCATCTTATAGCAGCCCTGTCACAGGATGTGTCCCTCTACCTGTCCATCTTATAGCAGCCCTGTCACAGGATGTATCCCTCTACCTGTCACCTTATAGCAGCTCTGTCACAGGATATGTCCCTACCCGGCCCCCGTTCCTTACCCGGCTCACCGGTTCCTGCAGCAGCTGCAGGACACTACGTGACGTCTGCGAGTGAAGAAAACCCCGCCCACAGACACTAGCCAATCGCGAGCAGCGGGAGGGACAGCATCCCCATGGCAACCACCTACCACCACCCGGGGACCACGTGTTTAGTGTCTAACACGGGGGAAGATACCACTCACTGACACGGGGGAGGGGAGGACCGAACCACTCGCGAGGTCACCAACCTAATAGGGGTGTCCTAAAAAAATCCCAGTTGCTTGCTGAAGGATTAAGGAGACTGAGAATAGTTAATCACTGCAGGCTGTGATCCATTCCTTAGTATTTAATGATTGACGTGACTATAGCAGCCTTCTCTATTAGTTACTATCATTAAATAATAATAATAATAATAATATACTGGGTGGCTGCCCAGCATCAAAATAGCTGGGAAAACAGGCAGACTGGTGACACTGACAGACTGTGACCCATTAACTGTAAACTGTGAGGGGAAACCATTGAGGGGTAAAGGAAGGTCATTGTCAGACCAGTAAGGGTTAATTCACAATGCAGACACTGTGAGGCAGCGCCACCTGCTGGTAGAGACTGGCAGTGCAGCCTTGGTGTTGGCCTGTCCCAGTGTTAAAGGAACACTGTAGTCACCTAAATTACTTTAACTAAATAAAGCAGTTTTAGTGTATAGATCATTCCCCTGCAATTTCACTGCTCAATTCACTGTCACACTGTCATTTAGGAGTTAAATCACTTTGTTTCTGTTTATGCAGCCCTAGCCACACCTCCCCTGGCTATGATTGACAGAGCCTGCATGAAAAAAACAACTGGTTTCACTTTCAAACAGATGTAATTTACCTTAAATAATTGTATCTCAATCTCTAAATTGAACTTTAATCACATACAGGAGGCTCTTGCAGGGTCTAGCAAGCTATTAACATAGCAGGAGATAAGAAAATCTTAATTAAACAGAACTTGCAATAAAGAAAGCCTAAATAGGGCTCTCTTTACAGGAAGTGTTTATGGAAGGCTGTGCAAGTCACATGCAGGGAGGTGTGACTAGGGTTCATAAACAAAGGGATTTAACTCCTAAATGGCAGAGGATTGAACAGTGAGGCTGCAGGGGCATGTTCTATACACCAAAACTGCTTCATTAAGCTAAAGTTGTTCAGGTGACTATAGTGTCCCTTTAATGGAAGTGTTAGAACAGCAAAGTCTATTTATTATTCCCAGCTATATAGAGCGCTGTAAACATGATCACTGCAAAGACAGGGATAGAGATCTGTTTGCGGTAATGAGAAAGCTTAGTGCACGCGTAATAATAAATAGTGCTGCTAAATGGCCAGAAAAAAAAAAGGTTTTGCAGGCGCATGAATAATTCAGTGCTGGTAATGTGATATCTTGGCTTTTTTGTGTTAATTTAGGATTATTCACTGAAGTGTGGATTGTTAGGAATGCAAACAGAATTGTTCGCAGAAAGTCAAATGTTCCACCCACCCCTGTCCCAGATAATAAAAATTTGTTTAGGAACTTCCAGGTCATCCAAAAGTACAGAGATTGTTCTGAAGATTTATCAATGTTTGGATTTTGCCATTCAGTATCCAGTGGACATCATGTATTTCCATTAGATTTCAGTCTGTCCGGATGCCGCTGAACAGGACCGGACTGGGAGAAAAATTCAGCCCGGGCATTTTTTTAGCACAGCGGCCCACTAAGAAGGGGGCGGGGCAGAGAGGGTGTGTTTCGTCATCACCAAAGACAAACACGCCCCCTCTCAAAGTGAGCGTTGGGTCAATGCTCTTCCAGGGCAGAGCTCTGCTAAAGAGCTCTAGCATGAGAAGAAAAAAAAACCTGTATTTGTTCTGCACAGTGCAAGCAAATTTAATAACATGCTTCCACTGTGTTTCCTTGAAACTTGTCTCTGGTGTCTCTATAAATGGATACCAGGAGACAAAAGGGCAAGGAAAGAGTATTGTGCATGTGTTTGGAGCCTGCTTTGGGATTGTGTGTGTGCAGAGTGAGCTGGTCGTGGTTTGGTATTGTGTAATAAGGTTGGTTTTAGTCGTATTGTATTTGTGGTGTAATGTAATGCATATGTGGCTAGGAGCTGAAGAGAATGTGTGTATAGGGGATGTAGTAAATGTATGCACACAGGCTATAGTGTGTGTGTGTATATAGGTGATGTAGTGTTTGTAGGGGTTGTAGAGAGTGTGCGTTTAGGGGTGTAGCATGTGTTTGTTTACAAGGAATCTAGTGTGTGTGTATAAGGGATCCAAAGTGTGTATGTTAGGAATGTAGTGTGTGTAGGTGGTGCAGTGTGTGTGTATACAGGAGTCTAGTGTGTGTTTGAAGGACCCAGAATGTGTATGAGATCTAGTGAGTGTGTGTATATAACGGAATCAGAGTGTATATAGGGATTTAGTGTGTGTATATGATCCATAGTTGGGTAAGGGATAGAGTGTGTGTCTGGAATGTAATATGTTTAGCGGTGCAGTATGTGTGTGAGCGGTTCAGTGTGTGTGAACGGTGCTGTGGTGTGTGTGTGTATATATATATATATAAAATATATATATATATATATGTTTGGAAGTATTGTGTGTGTGTGTTTAGTGCAGTGTGTTGGGGTTCTGCGTGTATGTGTGAGGGGTGCAGTGGGTGTCTGTGAGGGGTGTAGTGTGTATGTGAAGGGTGCAGTATGTGTGTGTGATGGATGTTGTGTTTGAGGGGTGCTGTGTGTGAAGATGCTGTGTATGTTGTGTTTAAGGGTGCTGTATGTGGGTGCTGTGTTAAAGGGTGCAGTGTGTGTGCTGTGTGTGATGTGTGTGAGAGTGCTGTGTGTGAGAGTGCTGTGTATGGTGTGTGTGAGAGTGCTGTGCTGTGTGTGAGAGTGCTGTGCTGTGTGTGAGAGTGCTGTGTGTGCTGTGTGTGAGAGTGCTGTGTGTGCTATGTGTGCTATGTGTGAGAGTGCTGTGTGTGCTGTGTGTGAGAGTACTGTGCTGTGTGTGAGAGTGCAGTGTGTGTGAGTTCTGTGTGTGATGTGTGTGAGAGTGCTGTGCTGTGTGTGAGAGTGCTGTGTGTGTGAGTGCTGTGTGCTGTGTGTGAGAGTGCTGTGTGTGCGGTGTGTGGGGTGCTTTGTGTGTGGGTGCTGTGGGGTGCTGTGTGTGCTGTGTGTTGGGGAGTGCTGTGTGTGGGGTCTTTGTGTGTGCTGTGTGTGGGTGCTGTGTGTGTGCTGTGTGGGTGTGCTGTGTGTGCTGTGTGTGGGTGCTTTGTGTGTGGGTGCTGTGTGTGCTGTGTGTGCTGTGTGTGCTGTGTGTGGTGTGCTGTGTGTGCTGTGTGTGCTGTGTGTGTGTGGGTGCTGTGTGTGATGTGTGGGGAGTGCTGTGTGTGGGAGTGCTGTGTGTGTGCTGTGTGTGGGAGTGCTGTGTGTGAGAGTGCTGTGTGTGCTGTGTGTGAGAGTGCTGTGTGTGAGAGTGCTGTGTGTGAGAGTGCTGTGTGTGCTGTGTGTGAGAGTGCTGTGTGTGCTGTGTGTGAGAGTGCTGTGTGTGAGAGTGCTGTGTGTGCTGTGTGTGAATGTTAAAAGTGATTGTGTGTTGGGAGGGTAAAAAAAAACAACAACAAAAATGCATTATATCTGCCCCCCCCCTTTACCTTTAGCCTGGGAGGGGTCCGGCACGGTGGTAGCTGGGAGGAGGGGGACCGGCACACTCACATCATTCCTGGTGGTCCAGTGGTTAGTGAACTCTAGCCTATAGGCTAGAGTTCACTCTCGCGAGATCCGGCGCGTTGCCATGGCAACGCTCCGGATCTCGCGAGAGAAACCCGGCGGAGCTGCAAGATAGAGCTCCGCCGGGTCCTCTCCCTCCCTCCCCAGCCGCAGGTCTGTTTAAATGGGCCGGTGAGGGAGATCTTTGATCTCCCCATCGGCCCTCCATGGCAAACAGCGGGGCCGGCGCTCGGATAGTGCCGGCCCTGCATAGACCGGCAGGGGAGATCCTGGGACCTCCCCTGCCGGCCTCGGCCCATGGCCACTGCGGCCCACCGGGCATTTGCCCGGTGTGCCCGATGGCCAGTCCGGGCCTGCCGCTGAATGATGGAAATCTGTAGAAAAGGTATAGAAATCCGGGAGCTCAGAACTAGCAAGCGGTAAATTGCGAATTATATCATGTAGATAAAAAAAAAAAAAGGCTGTATTAGTATCCTTTACTAACTCCTGGGGAGAAAGAGTTGGCTTCAAAGACACGTCTGAAGCTTAAAATATATTTAAAAATGTAAAAATAAAAATTGAAACAAAGTGGAAAAAAAATAAATAGTTGCACACAATTCATGTGATTGGTTAATTATTTACATACACTGATCAGCCACAACAATAAAAAAAACTAACAGGTGAAGTGAATAACATTGATTATATTGTTACAAAGGCACATGTCAAGGGGTGAGATATATTAGGTAGCAAGTGAAGGGTCAGTCAGTTTTGAATTTCATGTGTTGGAAGTAGCAAAAAATGGGCAAATGAAAAGATCTCAGTAACTTTGACAAGAGCCAAATAATGATGGTCTGAGCATATCCAAAATAGCAAGTCTTGTGGGGTGTCCCGGGATGCAGTGTGTTGTGGACAAAAATATTAACCCAATTTATGCTAGTAAAATGTCTATTTACTCAACATAACTGTAATCAGCATTATTCAATTTCCTATGTGATTTACCTAAAAATGGCCACTAGGGAGTTTCCACTTCAACATCGACTAACACCCTCATTAACAAGATGGTGCTGGAATCTGGGGGAGACCAAGATACCAGTGATATCACCCCCAGTAGGGAGAGCGTTAAATGAACCACTTAACACCTAACCAATTATTGATGTATTATTTCATGTTATCTCTGACAATGCTTGTGATGTAATTTTGCTTTATAAGGGACATGTCGTCCCCCCGAATAAACATTCCTCAAGTTTTTCATTAACCTGAAACCTGTGTCTGGGGTGAATTACTTTAGGACTGTGCACGCATTACTTCTTTAATTTGGCCAGGGCCAGATACGTAAGATAATCAATTTATTGATTGATTTCCACATCATTTGGTGCCCAACGTGGGGCACCGGATCTCACCGGTTCGGACGGCCGGAAAAC